TTTAGCTGTCAGTGGTAATAGATACCCTACCCATCACAGATGAAAATTCCCTCTTTTTTCCTTCTTAGTGTTTTTGTATGTGTGGGGGGGCCTCTTCCAGTTTTTCAGAGAACACTTCATTCCGCCTGATAATTTGGAGTGTAAAGAGGTGTTTGTCTTCTATTATTGTAGAGGGCCAAACATGCACTTTGTCCATTCAGAGATGCTACTTACTACTGACATAAACGTAGACATAATGCACTCTCTATGTGTTACTTGAAAATTCTCCTTGCACTCAGTGCTTGTTAGAAGCTAAGTCTTTCATCCTCTGCCATTCTTATTTGTAACTGGCGGATAAATTTTGTGGTGAGCAACCATGACAAATAACCTGTCTCCTATGCTGGGAGCTCAGTTGCTGGGGGCTCCAAAGTGGGGCTTTACTTATTTGTGGTAAGTCATCCTGCTTTGCCACTATAGCTATCTTGCTCAGCTTCTTTTGATTTCCCATATTACACAGCTCATGACAGTGTGAGGTATGATTTGAATGCAGGTCTCTTAAATCTAGTTTCTCTCCACTTTCCATTCTATTCCACTCCCTCTCTGTGCCATAGCTAAGATTCCGTGATTCTAACATCTCTAAAATCACTTGAGCATTTTCCTATACCTAGAATCAAAAAAGTCACTTGACAAGTACAAAAGGGAGAGGCAATGGCTAGAAGCTGCTAAAATGAAGATCTGGGAACAATGGGTCTGAGGGAGCACACATATAATCCTTGCTGCAAGGGAAACTGAGGCTGACGGATCACTTGAGCTCAGGAGCTCTAAGCTGAAGCAGGTTAAGCCAATCTGTTGTCTACACTAAATCTAGCATCAGTATGATGAACTCTGATAGCAGGGGGCCAACAGACTGCCTATGGAGGGTGCAGACTGTCACAGCTTGGAAATGAAGCAGGTCAGAAGTTCTCATGCTAAAAAGCAGTGGGACTGGAACCATGAGTGACCCCAGCACTTTTAACTTGGGAGAGATAGGGAGACCCAGTCTCAAAAGAAAGTTTCCACTCTCAGATCAGTGCCTGGAACTTTGAGCTGGGCCCTCTTATTAAAAGTGATACTGCAAGTCAGTATCTGAGTAGGTTGTCTTGCCAACTTTAAAACCCTGATGTTTAAATTAAAAGCCAAAATTTATACATTCCTTTCGAAATTTACAAAGAAGTTTCTTCACAATAACCCTGTGTAGTAGGTGGTGCAAATGTTATTATCCCCATTTGACAGGAAGAAAACGAAATGTCTCAGAGAGAAGAAATAATGTCCATCTGCCGTCTCCCTGTCACATAGACTGTCCTCTATACCCAGAATGCATTTCCTCCTCATGTCCACCTCCCAGAATCCCTAGCTTCTTTCAGAAGTCAGCTTAAATTCTACCTTCTACAAGACGCCATTTCTAGATTTCCCCGTTACCTCCACTGCATTGTAATTTCTTAGTATATGTTTTACATATACATACATGAATGATAGTAGTACTAGTAGTGGTGGCCAGAATTTAGATAGGTCTTTATGGTTTGCAAAACACAACACAAATATCATTTCATTTTATTTTTATAACAAGCGTGGTAGGTAGGTGCTATTAGTATCTCCACTTTTCAGATGAAGAAACTGAGGCAGGTGGAGGTTAAATGACTTACCCAGGGTCACAGAGTAGCTAGTAAGTCTCTGAGCCTGAATTTGAACTTGGGTCTTACTGATTCCAGGTCCAGTACTTTATCCACTCACTGGCCATAGAATGCAAAATCTTTGAGGGAAAGGAGTGTTTCATTTTTGTCTCTACATCCTGAGCTCCTAGCATAATGCCTGGCACACAGGCAGTATATAAATGAATAATGCTTCTTAATTGATTGATTAGCCTAGAGTCATTCAACCCCTTTTCTTTTTCACAAAATTCAATTTTATTTCAATTTCAGGTCCAAATTCTCTCCCATCTCCTCCTCAATCCTCCCCCAGTCCCTGTTGAGAAAGCAAGAAAAAGAAACTGTCACAAACCTGTATAGTCAAGCAAAACAAATTCCCATATTGGCATGTCCCCAAAGTCTCATCCTGCACTTTGAATCCTTCCTTTCTCTATCAGGAGGTGAACAGCATGTTTCCTCATGCATTCTTGTTTATTGTGGTTATTGTGATAACCACTGTGTTGATCAGAATTCCTAAGTCCTGCAAAGTTGTTTCTCTTTATGATATTGTTATAAATTGTTCTCCCAGTTCTGCTTACTTCCCTTTGCATCAGTTCATATATGTCTTCTGACGTTTCTCTAAAATCACCCCAATCATTATTTCTTACAGCAAACTTCATTCAGCTTCTAAGTATTGGAGCCATCAAACTCATGTATAGTTACTCTCATGTTCTTTCTACTCCACCATGCTGCCTTAAAATTCGTACTCCATAAGTACCCAAAGGTGGTAGAATCATCATTAGGGTCAAGCCTTTAGGGGAAAGGAATGGCAGTTACTTGGTGTTATCCTTATGAAGAAAGTAGGGACTTGAAGTCATCTAGTCTGTGCCTTTGCCTTCAGCCTGGACTGTACCAAGATCATTCAAACTAGTTTTCAGCTGCCCTTGTTTTAGTTTTTAATTGTCCTTGACCACTCTGAAGCATTTGACACCACTGATCAACCTCCTTCTTCTCCTGAATATTGTCTCTTCCCAGACTTTCCATGATATTGCTCTCTATCAGTTCTCCTACTTCTTGGGCCATTCCTTCTCAATCTATTTTGCTAGATCATGTCCTATGACTTACCAGGTCTTCAACTCCTCATGCATTGATTACTGTAATAGCCTACTGGTAAGTCTGCCTTCCTCAGACCTCTCCCTACTTCAATCCATTTTCCATTCAGCCTGTAAAGTTGTCTCTTTTGTATCTCCTGTACTTAGCACAATGCCTGGCACATATTAGACACTTAAAAAATGTTTGCTGAATTTGTTGTAGGACATAAAAAAGATTTTCATATATATCATAATTGTTTGGCCAATGAAAGACCTCAATTTGTTTAGTAAGGCAAACAAATATGATTCTAAAATGTCTAATAATGAAATATACCTTGCATTACCCGAGAAGGCTTCTCTTGGGGCTGAGGAGGAAGGAATAGGCTCATGGTTAGTGGCAATGATGTGAACTATGATCTCATTGTCATAAGTAACACTTTATGAACCCAGCTCAGCACCTTCTCTGCAACTTCCAAGTCAAAGAGGGTTTTCTAGAGCACTGAGAAGTATGACTTAACTAGGGTCACACAGACAGGACCGGAACCCACCTCTTCCTGGCTCCTTGGACAACTCTATCCACTACAGTTTGGCTGCCTCTAGTGATGGGTATATTTCTCTTTCTGGCAAGAAAAAAAAAGTCATTGATAAAATATTTTTAAATAAGTGGTGAAGAGAATATAAGCAAAAAGAACAGTTTTGTTATGATATTAAATTTATGGCACATACAGAGAATATATGTTATACAGGGCATCCCCCCACATAAATATTTTATATTATATAATATAAGTATTATATAATTAATTGGTAGTATTAATAAATGTTATATATTTAAAATATATACACATGTATACATACACATATACCAAGATAGATACAAACTTTATGATAGAAATTCACAGTTTCTTATACAATTTTTAAATTCATCTTTATATATTTAAATATTTGTGTTTGTTAATGACTATTGATTTCAATAAGACCCAGTTCTTGCCATCTAGTTGGGGAGACAATAATTAGTGACAAATATGATGTGGAAAGGAAACATCTTCATTAGGGCTTCACCCTAGTAAATCAGGCTTAGGAAAATGTAGCAAAAGGAGTTTACTATTACATATAAAGCATATTTATGTGTCATATAATATGTGTCATATTAATATGCATCAGCATCTGTGCATATTAATCATAGAATCATAAAATGTTGGATCTGAAAGATACCTTAGAAATCTAGACTTTTTTTTTAATAGGAAAGGAAATTGAATCTAAGAGAAAGGAAGCAACCTCCTCAAGGTCACACATAACAAGAGAAATTCTGATGGGTTGAAATTATAAAGGGGGATAGGCTAGTGTTGTATCAATGTTGACTTTACAATCCAGGTAGGATGCTCATTCTAATGGGGATCAAGGCATTTGTTAGACTTGGCCTGGCAGGTAGTGTAGCTTCGCTATAAGAAGATTGTCATATTTATATGTGCAGCCTCCTGTCTTGTGTATCTCTAAAAGTGATGAAAATTATGGGTACACTAGGATTTGCTTGGTGATAGTGGATAAATTCTTCAATAACATGACTATATATAGTTACATGTGACTTGCATTAAATGACATTACAACATACGCAATTTCAAAAATCGACCCAGAAACAACCTTATTACGTACACAGTGTACATTATCACCGTTTTAGAGATGAGAATACAGTTATCCATTCCACATTGAGGGGTTAGGGGCGCCTAAACCCAGGTCCCCCTGGATCTGGAAATTATGCATAAAATTTTTTGGCCCTCCCTTATAGAAGAAGTCTGAATTTTTTCTTTTTCTTTTATGGGGTGCTTACAGTTTTATACATTTCTGAATTTCTAAACTTTTTCTGTGTCATCTACTCACTCACCTTCACATGTTATCTACAGCTTCTATAAAACTCCCCTATTTAATTTCTTATGCTGGCCCACGATATATTGAAACCATGATAGGGAAAGTCCCTATGTAGAAAGGAGAACTATACTCACAGAGATTAGTGATAAAGGTTGCAGAGGCTGATGGAGCAGAGCCAAGATTGGAACCCAACTCCTGACTATTTCACTTACTCTGTTATTGTTACTAGACCAAACTAGAAATTCAGAGAGGAGGGAAATCAATGAGACTGAAGCAGTCAAAAAAGACTTCCTAGAAGATATAAGATTTGAAAGGGGTCTTGAAAGGTGGATAGAGTTTTCACAGGCAGTGAGGAGCAGGGTGAGCATTCAAAGCAAAGTCAATTAGTCAATGACGTTAGGGAATGCACAGAGGTGAGAATGAATGTGATAATGGGTCAAGGACATCAGAGAGGTCAAGCGGAGGGAGCAGAGGCTGCATGATTGGAGATCCTGCTAATTTCTACTAAAAAATGTTGATCTGTTATTTTTTCTTCCAGTGACCACTACCCAAGCTACTCTAGGAAATGACACCTGGGAAGAAGAAACATGGCTAGAGGTGAGGGTCTTGCAGAGTGTAGAGAACCAGGTCTTACTTGAATCAACAATTCTCTCTGGATCAATAAAGATTATTAGGTTTCAATAATGTGTTTCCTGTGGGAGCATTCAGGCCACTGACCTGGTGATGACCGTACAATCTTTTTTCACTTGGCACTTATCTTTCTTGATATCCTCTCTTTGAAAGGGCAACTCCCAGGAGTATCCAAAAGGGATGAGTGAATGGTTCTGGTATCTCTTTGAACCTTGAGACAAATAAGGTGACATCATATCCAGAACACCTCCAAGGCAAACACCTGCACTGGCACTTCTAGCTCTTTATGCAATCAAACATTCATACAAGAATTTGTTATTTGACTATTTTCCCTAATAATGGACTATCCCCCTGTACCCTTTTAGTGTTGATGGAAAAATGCCTAATTTTTTTCTCCTCAAAATAGTTCCTCCACTTACAAGGGGTCTACTATGATTGAAACAATATCAGAATTTACTTGAAACAACAAAAACAACAAGCATTTATTAAGTGCCTCCAAAGCATCAGGTATTGTGCTAGGTACTAGGGATAGATAGGAAAAAAAGAAAATACCTGCTCTCAGGGGCCTTATATTTTATTGGGGAACATAACATTCATCTACTGAATAAGTATTTATTAGAAACCTACAATATGCTAGACTCTTAAATTATAGGTGCTGGGGATTCAAAAACAAAGTAAAATAGCCCCTCCCCTGGGAGAGCTTATATTTGGGGGTTAACAATGGGGGACTGACAAAATGATCAGAGATTATTAAATCAAAAACATACAAAATTAATACTTGGTATTATAAGAGATTTGAAAAATACTATACATACACACTTGACCCCCAAGTAAGGGTCTCACTTGACACTCATAATAGCTTTGTGAGGTAGGTGCTTCTTTCATCCCCATTTTATAGATGAGTTAAAGTGGGGAAAAGTTGAATGACTTTCCCAGAACCACACAGCTAGTAAGAGTCTGAGGCAGGATTTGAACTTAGGTTCTTGAAACTTAGGTTTCTTGATTCTAAGTCCATCCCTCTATCCACTAGGCTACCTCAAAAAGAATTTGTCATTGTGAGTACTCATGCTGTTCCTGTCTCTTCAACCAATGATACTTGGCCAACCTTATTCAAGGGAGAAAACTTCTACTCTTAGGCTAATGCTACATTGACTCTTCAGTCCCCTTGCTTTATCCAATTGTACAAGGAACTTGCTCACATAACTCCCCCTCTAGCTTCAAAGGCCAGAAAATTAAATCTAGGTTTGATCATCCTCTTCCTCCTGCCCCACATACTCTTCTCTCCTAGGGTGATGCCCTGAGTACCACTGGCAGGTCTGTGGGCATATATTCTCCCCCAGTATGTGAGTGAGGTTACACAGTAGGCAGCTACAGCTTCTGTAGAGAAGAATGTGGTAATTTCTTTGGATTCTTTTGTATGTGGTTTCCATACAATGCCACCAGTATTTGATATTCCTTTCTCATTGCAGGTTCTGAAGAATTTCTCATTTCCCTGCAGACCAGAGGAGATAGTATCTAATGCTCCATCAGAGTCAGGTTGGTGCTTGAAGGCTATAGCTGGGTGGGCTATTCATTTATCATTGATGTTTCATCGATTTTGCCGATACCAAACATAGCCTCTTAGTTACTTGGATGCTGCTAACTGACTAGCCCACTCATCCCTACTTTTTATTATCTCCATACAAGGCATTTAGTCAATTCTAAATGTGGGTTGAGGGTAACCAATAGGCCTCCAGTCTATTGATGAGATGACTACCCCAGAGAAATGGGCAGATGAGAACAATTTGTTTCAATGGTCTGAAGGCAGCTGAAGAACCATGCTGTGAAGCACTTAGAGCTTAGTCAGACATTGAAGATGCTAAAGTCACCCACTGCATCCTGGGTCATCTTGTTATCACCCATCACCCACTATTTTACCCCAACTTTGATGTCATTGATTGTATTAGAGAATGAAGGACGAACAGCAGCCATCAACAAAGCTATCCAAGACCATCATTGAAAGAACTAAACCAGCATGGAACCTTTAGTTTTTGGCCTGGATAAGGAATCTTAGCAAGTTTTCTTTCCTATGAGTTGAAAATTACTGAGATTCACTGTACTATACTAGTGTATCTCAGTTCTTAAACTTATTGGTCTTGAGTCCTATTGAGTTTTTTTATTTATGCAGACTATATCTATTGATACTTGCCATATTAGAAATTAAAAGATCTTATTATGAAAATGGGGATTCCCCAGATCACATAGTTCTCTTGAGTGGCCTTTGCCTCTCTTCTACCAGGATTTAAAATAGACAGGTAGTTTAGTGGCTTGTCTACTCCATCCCTTTCAAGAGTCCCATTGCTTTAGGAGTTTTCCATCTTGAATTATCTGTTTTCCAGATATCTTGATTCAATTTAATTCAACTCACATCTGTTAAGTGCCTATTCCTTGCTTGGAAAAAATGAACCACTGCATGCCTTCAAGAAGCTTATATTTTATTGGAGGGATTACAAACACATACTGTATGATGGCAATAGTTTTTCACCTGGGGCTTTTCCCTTTGTCACTTTATATTGTCAGGATGAGAGCTGCTTCACAAACTTGTTTAAAGAACAAATCAATTCATCTTTAATTGAGAATTTCCATGTTATTATTGTATAGTTACATGATGACTTTGATCTAGTAAAGTAAACTCCTTGGGGCCTAAGTTGTTTCTTGGCCCAAGTTTTCCCTTTTTATCAATGTCAGTGATTATGCCAATGGTCTTCATTAAGATTCAGTTTTTGACAATGATAGTGACTTAGTCATACACAAGTTAGAGATGTGTTTTATTTGCTTACAGTTTACATGGGATCATACCATTTTTAGTATACTGTCTACTCTTAGGCAGTGTTCAAGTTAAAAGCTATTATCTTGTTAGGGCCTAGTCAGGAAGAAGGCATCGAAGGCATCATGGTGTGGTGGAAAGATCATTTAACTTGGAATCCTGGGACTTCAGTTTGAATCCCAGTTTTGCCCCTCATGGTGTATGACTTTGGGCAAATTATCTCACTTCACTACAGTTTCCCCATTTGCAAAATGAGAAAGTCACACTAGATGACTGGGACCTGGGGGGGAATTCTCCTTCTGGTTGTAAATGTATGTAATGTCATCAAATGGTTGCCATTTAAATTATGTTTCCTTATTATTACTGACTTACATTCTGGAGGGAGATATTTGTTGGGGAGTAGTTGGAAGGAGGGAATCAGAAGGATAAGAGTAGGGAAAGAAGGGAAGACGGAAGCAAAAGAATGAGTTGGGAAGGGGCAAGAACAGTGAGTGATAGAGTGAAGAGCCAGGTAGAGAGGAGAGAGAGGCCCTGAGAGATCTTTGGTGGTCTACTAGTTTGAAGAATGAAAGACTAGTGCATCTTTGGTGAGGGATGATTTTTTTCCGTTTCCTGGTTCCATTGTCCCCTTCACATTTATTTCTTGCTCTGGCTTTGAATGTTTTTGAAATCTAGAGGTAAAAGGAACCTCAGAATCCCCTCATTTTACAGTTCAGGCAAATGAGGCCCAGAGAGGTTGTGACTTGCCCACACAGCTAGCGAGTGTAATGGGTCGTATTTGAATCTAAATCCCAATGGTTCCAATCTCTACACTCTTTATGCTGCCTTCCTTCTTCTAGTCCTAAGCAACAGTTCTTGTGAGATTGGCATTTTCCATGTGGATTCTGCCTGGGAATGTGAGTCTACTCTTCCTAAATAGGATTCTTGCCTTCACAGTTCATACTCTGAGAATTTCTGACATCAAAGTCGTCGGGGCCATTGGGAACCTAGAAATTGTAAGTACTTAAAGCAGCTTGGGGAAGGATTTGAGATTTAGCATGGGCGATAATCAGGGCTACAAACCTGAAAACAAGATCAAGCATTGAATATAATGGCATTAAAGTTGGCAATACTTTGGTTCAGATCCCAATCCAGGCACTTAGTATTTGTGTGACCTTGTGCAGTTTGCTTAATTTCTCTGGGTCTCATTCTCCTCATCTATAAGTTGAGGATGTGTCCTGTAAAGTCCCTTCCAGTTTTAAATCTATGATCCTAAGAAAGGAGAATAATATGTGTGTTTAAGAAGTTCTAGAAAAGCCTGGGGTGGGGGGGGTCTGGCCCTTTCTGCCATCTAAATAAAAGGAAACCTACCTAGTTCCTTTAATGAATTCAAGTCATCTCTTCACTCTCCTGGTTGTTTCCCCTCTGAATATTCTCTAGTTTGTCAATATTTTTTCTTAAAATAAGGAGTCCAGAACTGAATAAAATGGTAATCATGTGGATTGACTGGGGCAGAGGACAGGCCAACAATCACATCCACTGTTCTGGAAATTATGCTTCCTGATGTATTTTAAAAAGGCATTACAGTTTGGGGCTGTTGTGTTTCACTGACTCATAATGACGCTCCACTTGAACTCCTAGATCTTTTTTTTTTCCCGAATCTCCCCATCTTGTAGCTCAGTCCCACTATTGAGCAGCCCAGAAGCTTTGACCCCTCTAGTCCTGACTGTTTTGCCCTTCCTTAGGGCAGCCTCATGGTATTGGGGCTAGATTTAATGCAGATGGACACTCAATTGGCCCTGGTGCTGCAGAACCTCAGAGCTCCTGGGCTCAGTAACTTCCGACTCCATATCCCAATAGCAGAGATTATAGGCACACACCACCATACCCAGCTTCTGTCTCCTAACCAGGCCTCACCCATTTTGTACTTAGCAAGTCTGTTTGGGGGCCAGATGTAAAAGAAAATGCATCAGCATCTGTGCATATTAATCATAGAATTTTTTTTAAATAGGAAAGAAAAGAGAAAGGAAGCAACCTTCTCAAGGTCACACAGATAGTCAATGACAGAGTCTAGATTTACAGGATCATAGATTTAGAACTAGAAAGGACCTTAGAAGTCATCTAGTCAAACCCTCTCATTTTACATATAAGGAAACAGACCCAGAGATGGAAAATGACTTCATCTTAGCAGATATCCAGCATGATCACAGCAAGGCTCACCCGTACCAGGTTTCCAAAGTCAAACAAGTAGTAAATGGTAGGGCAGGAATTTTTGAACCCGGGTCCTCCAAACCCAGTATTCTTTTTAGCATTTCCCAGACTATAGGGAAGGGATGTCTAACAGACAATTTCAGAAACTTCCCGTTGACTAGAATGAAAGCTGACAGCTTACTGCCCCCTATTTTATGCTAAGAAATGAATATGTGTCTACGTGTGTGTGTATGAGAGAGAGAGAGAGAATAAATGAATTAGCATTGGAAGTTTATAAATATGTATGTATATAAATACACACATTGGAGGGAGTGAGGGATGGAGAGAGAGAATACCGGAAGTTTATAAATATATATATCTGTACATACATACACATTTGGCAGGCAAGGGAAAGAGCAAAGAGAGAATTATACACACATACATACATATATATGTGTATAGGGAGTGAGAAAGAACACTGAAAGTTTATAGTTATAGGTATATACACTGGAAGTTTATAAATACATATACACACACACACTCACAGGGATAGAGCGAGGGAAAGAGAACACTTGAAGTTTATAGATAGATGTATATACATGCATACACATGTGGAAGGCAAAGAGATAAGACTGAAAGTGTGTATGTGTATGTGTGGAACAGTGGAATTTTAAAAAATATATGTCTATTCATAATATATATTTATATATATTTACACAGGTGTTTTTAGGCTGTCTGGGGTTGCAGGGGATGGGTAAGGTGGGAATTGCTATTGGGAAAGATGCAAAAGTAGAGATTGAAATAATTGAGGGGGAAAAGGGCTTTGTGTGAAAGATTTGCTTTTCTGAAGCCATTTGTGAATTATACTAGTTACATTTCATAGCTAAGGAATTGCACTATGCTCTGCTTGTGTATTTTCACTCCATGCCAGAGTGACATCAGGCAGGGAAGGATAGTCTTCCAAAACCCAGTTCATTCTACCTAAGCCAGTATAGTAAGTTCTTTCACCCCTCCACCTACACTCCCCCTTCCCCCCACCCCCACATAAAGCAGTTCCCTCTCCCCTGCTGTTCTTGAACTGGCTGAGCTGACAGTTCTTGTCAATCAGGCCCCCTTCCTCCCTGACTGAGCCTGGGGGCTGTCATCTCCACTGAACAGAATACCTAGCTCCCCAGTGACTCTCCAACCAGAACTGGAATCCTTAATGGTGAACTGAAAGTTACCTTAGCCTTGGGCTTTCCCCCTGAAGCCAAAGCCTGTTATTTGGTTTCTGCCTCTGTCAGGCCCTGAGAGGAGGGCTCAGGGAGGAAAGTTCATGCTCATCAGGGGTCCTCACCAGCTCTGGTCAGACCTGAGGCCTGAATGACTTTGGGCCAATCTCTAGAAAGAAATCAAGCTGTGGAAAAAAGGAACAACTTTTTTATTTTTAAAAGGGGAAAATAGAGTAATGGCACTTTTTAAAAAAAAATTATGATTTCCTCACCATGATTCTAGTATGAATCAGTCAATAAGCATTTATTAAGCACCTACTATGTGTTAGGCACTGTATGAGGATACAAAGAAGTCACAGTATGAAGTGACCTCAGACACTGTCTAGTTCCATCTGTACCTGAATGAAAATCCCCTCTCTCTAACACACCTGAATTATGAGCAGAGTCTAAGACATACAGTATTCAATGAGCCCTTAGCAGTGGCAAAGCCAGGATTGAACTCCTGGTCTCCTGATTTCCAATGTATTATTCTCCAGACTGCTTCACACAGGTGTCTGGTAAGGGGAGGGAGCTGGCAATTTCTTCCCTTCCTCCCAAGCACAGGGTCCCATTGATCCTTTCCTGGATCTCAAGGGTTCTTCCCCTTGCTTCAGGAAACTAGTTGAGTTCAGAGGGGCATTGAGGCTCAGAAGTGGCCTCTGCATCATCGCTGCAATCCTTTGGATGATTCATCTCCTGTGTCTTTTCCAGACCCCAGATGCAAGCATCGACCTGAAACAGCAAAAATGGTAAACAAGAATTGTTGTTGGCATATTTGTGACAACTGGTGACAATTGCTATTGACACCCATGATGGCAAAGGCCTCATGCTATGTTGGGGGCTTATCACCAGGCAGGGCTGGGGTCAGAGAAGACACAGATGGGGGAGAAAGGGGCTAGATCTAGAAAACAAACTCAGTCGCTGAATTCCAGACTTAGAAGTGATCTCAAAGGCTGCCAGGTACAACCCATGCCTGAACGAGAATCCCCACACAATTTACTTGTCTGGTCAGTGGTAAGACCTCCAGAGAGGGAGAATCCACTAACCCTGGAGTCAGGCATATCCTTTTGAGGACAGCTCTAATTGTAGAAAATTTTTCCTGATAAGAGTCTGAATTTTCCTCTTTGCAATTTTCATCTGTTCCTCCTGCCTCTGACCACAAGAAGTCTCATCCTTCCGTATAGCAGCCCTTCAGATGCAAGTACAGTGTATGGTCTGATTAGGGCAGAGATCAGGAGAACTATCTCCACGCCTCTCTTAATGCAACCCAATATTATATTTGCAAGGTTGTTCTAGCAGACTGTTGACTACTGAGGTTGTAGTCCAGTGAAAACCCCAGATCCTTTTCAAACTGCTCTCTAAACGTGTCTCCTCCATCTTGTACTTCTGAAGTCAATTTATTTAACCCAGATATAATACTTTACATTTATCCCTATTAAATTTCTTCTGTCTTTAACTCAGTTTCCCAAGCTGTCAACATCCTGTGTGTTATCTCTCACACCATCTACAGATTTTACAAAGATGCTATCTGATTTTATCCAAGTCATTAAAAACCAAGCAAATGCTTTCTTAAAACCTCACTTGAAGAGTAGGGCTGTAATTCTCTCACTCAAAGGCATATGCTGGCTGGTCTTTTTTGTTCAAGGATACACCTAGAACCTATTTTTCTGAGCTGTGTTGAAATCAGAAATACTTTAAAGTCTAAAATGCAAGCAACAGCCTTACTATATTGCACTGCACGTGATAAATATAAGATAATTCCATCTTTACTTCTTTTTGCAGGATTGAGAGAAACCAAACAGAGACATGCACAGAAGTGGTGACAGGTAAGGTCTCTCATCCCATGTAGTTCTACCAACTTTTCCTTCCCAATCAATCAGTCAATCGACAAACCTCCTATGTGGTTCCTATGTGTCAGGCACAATAGAATGTCAGAGCTGATGTGGCCCTTAAAGATCATCTAGCTCAACCTCCTCACTTAACAAAGAATCTGAGACCCAGACAGATGAAAGGACTAAATAACAATTCTCATATGCAGGGCTTTAAGACTTTCTTCCCAGAATTACACTTGTGAGAAATTCAGTGCTGTTGAGTTGTTTCAAGATTTTCTTGGCAAAGATACTGGAGTAGTTTGCCATTTCCTTCCCCTGCTTGTTTTACAGATGGGAGAACCAAGGTAAGCAGAGTTAAATGACTTGCCCAGGGTCATACAGCTAGTAAATGTTCTGAGGCCAGATTTGAAATCAGGAAGAAGAGTATTTCTGATTCCAGGCGTGGCACTCTATCTGCTGTGCCACCTCGCTGCCCTGAGGGAGGTGGCAGGAACATCATATTATCCACATTTGACAGGTGAAAGAATTGAGCCTGAGAAGTAGTGTCTGACCCATGATCACACAAATAACAAAAACAGCCAGCATTTATGTATAGTTTTAAGATTTACAAAGTACTTTACACATATCATCTCATTTTATTCTCACAACAATACCAGGAGGTAGATGATGTTATCACCATTTACAGATGAAGAAACTGAGGCAAACAGAGTAGGTGACTTGTCCAGTCTCACAGAGTTAGGAACTATTTGAGGCTGGATTTGAACTCGGGTCATTCTGACTCCAGGCACAGCCCTCTATTCCCTGCACCACCAGCTGCCTCTACCCGAGATAGATGGGAAGGGTCCAAATCTCTTCACTGACTCCAAATCCAGTCCTCTATTCACTGTGCTACATTGTTTCTCATGAACACAATCTCGGGATTTTGAGCTGGAAAGGGGCCTTAGCAATAATTTGGTCATCCCCTCTCATTTTACTGAGACCCAGAGAGTTGAGATAACTTGGCTGGGTCACATCAGTAGTAAGGGCTAGAGCTGGGATTTAAACACAGTTCCCCAGTGCACCAATCACATATCTTTTCTCTCTCTTTTTTTTTGGGGGGGGGGGGGTGAGGTATTTGGGCTTAAGAGACTTGCCCAGAGTCACACAGCTAGCAAGTGTTTTGTGTCTGAGGCTGGATTTGAACTCAGGTCCTCCTGAGTCCAGGGCTGGTGCTCTATCCACTGCGCCACCTATCTGCCCCTCAAAGTAGCCAACTCTGATCATTGCTCTATTCAAATTAAATATGGTACTATGGGATCTATAGATGAAAAAAAAAAACATTTGAAGAAATGCCTTTATCCTCAAAACTTTACAGTTCACTTGGTTAACTGCCAATTAATTAACACATTTAATGAGTACCTAGCCTGTGCCAGGTGCTGTGCTGGAGGCTTTACAGATATTCTCCTCATCAGTGCCAGAAGGGGTTGAAGTTAGTTAGAGATGTTGAGGCAAGGCCAGCTGGCCACCCACAAAGGGGAAGATCTCTCCTAGAATTAGGCTGGGAAGAGACCAACAAATTTTCCAGACTTCATACTTTTCCGTAGGCCCTTGGGCAGAAGGGGTACGGAGAGACTGAAGCTGCACTGGGAGGCAGAAGGGGTACGGAGAGACTGAAGCTGCACTGGGAGGTATTTTTGTCCACCAGCTGCAAAGGCAGCAGCCCTGATTTGCATGATTTCTGAAGAATATTTCTTTAGTTTGTCTTGTGATACCTTGTGCATACAAAAGAGGTTTGCGTATCTGAAAGTGCCTGTTTTCTCCTTTAGCTGAAAAGTGAGGGATTCAGGTTGGGCCGTTCAGTCGTCATTCTGAGGTTTAGACCCTAGAAGGGCACAGCCAGGTATGCCAGGGAGTCAGACTTGGCATCAGAGGACCCTAGCTTTCGAGCTGGAAGAGAATTTAACTGACATCTATCCCAGGCAGCTGGGATATCATCATTTTACAGGATACTGAGGCTGCAGATGAAATGCCTTACAGAATCATAACTCTACAGCTTGAAAGGACCTTATGCTTCATCTCTCTAGCCCAACCTTATTTTACAGGAAAGAAAGCTGAAGCCAATGCCCCAGATCACACAGGAAGTAAATAGAAGACTCAGGATTTGAACCCAGGTCCTCTCACTTCAGGTCCAGAAGTCTTTTCATTGTATGCAGCTGCTTCCTTTAAACAGAAAGGTGCCATGAGACCAGAGTGCCAAACATAGGCTATCAGTGAAGTTTTATGCTCAGGAATCTGGTTCCTTGCAATCTAAACCCTTGAGTTTTGCCTCCGCAAATGGGCCTAATCGCTTTGGCACTTCATGGGATACGTGACTGGCCAGATTTACTCACTAGATCCAGGGATGTGCCCTATCCCACCCATCCCCTTCTGTAGCCACTTGGGAATAAACCCTTTCATTCCACAATTAGAGGTTGTAGCCTTCTGGTTTTAAAGATGCAAAGGAGCTTAGAGGTGATCTAGTCAAATACCTTCATTTTAAAAATGAATAAAATGAGACCCAAAGAGGGGATGTGACTTGGTCAAGGTCACACAGGCAGCTAATGGCAGAGTCAGGATTTGATCTCAGGTGCTCTGATTGCCAGTCTAGCTTGGATTACAGAGTTAGAGCCTGGGAGTCATTTACAGGGATCAGGAACCTGTGGCATCAAGACCACCTGTGGCCCTTTAGTTCCTCAAGCGTGGCCCTTTCACTGAATGCAAAGTTTGAATTTCAGTCAAACGGCTGCACTTGAGGACCTTGGGGGCCACTTGTGGCCTCAAGGCCATAGGTTCCCCATCCCTCTAGCTGAATCCTTGTTCCCCTCCTCACTTCATTGATGAGAATTCTGGTGCAGGTAGTAAGTAGTAAGTGGCAGAACCTAGGTTCGAAGTTGGGTCCTGACTCTCTGCTCTACCTGCTTGCTTTTCAAGGGCTTACAGTGGAATGCCTGGCTGAAGGAACGAACACTTCAGGGTGAAGACATTCACTTACCTTTCTATTAGTCAGTTTAGCCACAAACATTTCCACCTTTTTCCATAGGGAAGGCAGAGTGAGGTTAAGTTTTCCTGAATTCTTAGGGATAGTGACCTCAGCTCTAGCCTGGGAGGGAGCCATAGTGAGAAATCCAATGATGGGATAAAAGTTGGGGTTTTCAACTTTGCCTTAGCATAAAATAGCTACTTCCTGAGCTTTGTCCATCTGACTTGGGGACACTCTATGAGCTCTATTGGACTACAGATATTTCCCCTGATCCTCTTACCAGCCAAGGACCCCCATGTTATTTTCCCAATTTTACATCTTTTCTCCTTGCTTCCTAAGCACCTAGCCTTATACAGGAATCAACTGTTGAGATTTGCACTGTAGGCAAGAGTTTGACTTATGTAGTTTAAGGGGGGAAATAACAATAATTAACGTTTATATCACCCTTACTATGTGCCAGGCACTTTACTAAGGGCTTTATGATTACTATCTTAGTTTTTCTTCACGACATCCCTGGTACATAAGTGCTATTATTATCCCCATTTTATAGATGAGGAAGCTGAGGCAAACAGTAAGTGACTTGCTCAGGGTCTCCCAGCTAGGATGCCTCAGGCTGAATTTTAACTCAGGTTTTCCTCACTCCAGGTCCTGCACTGCCCTGCTACCTTAGGAAAGGAATGGAGATTTGGGGGGAGTCCAGCCTTTGTCACTTCTTACCTGCATGATCTTAAGGAAATCATTTAGCCTCTCAGGCCCTCAGTTTCCTCATTTGTAAAATAAGAGAATCCAAGCAGATGATCCATAAGATCTAGTCCTTCTAGCTCTAACATTCCATATTTTTACTAGAAGAGGTTATATTGACTAGGGATGATGGAAGTCTGGCTCCTTCAAAGGAGAGAGTCAATTTAAAATCTGTCTAGTGGGAGAAAACTTGATTCCACCAACTGGAAGAACTGATTACTGTTTGGAAAGCTAAGATGAGAATTCCAAAAGCCCCACTCCAGCCGGAGAAGTTGGGAAATGAGCAGAAGGAAGGTCAAGTGGGGAGAAGCACAAAGTAATATACTTAGAGACTGTACAAAAATGATGGTACAAATCCATATGAAAAACATCAGTGTGTCATAGTCAAGAACAAGTCAGGAAAATAATGTCCATACCTTTGCTTTATAAAACATCTTTCTTTTAAGAACTTTTGCATTTGTAGATAATCTCTTTTCTTCTCATAGAGTAAACCTGAAGTGTAGTGAAAATGATTCTCAGGCTGATTCATTCTTCTTGCTCCAAAGAATACAGTAGCATAATCACAAAGGAGAGAAACACACACACACACACACACCTTTCCACTACGACTAATCTATTGTTATTGTTATGTGCTGTCTATATATAAAACACTCGTGTGCACATGTTTACATACATATGTAGATGGAGGTATGTTTGTGTTTGTATGTGCATGTGTGTACACATACATGCATGTGTATTTATGTATGTGCACCATCCCCTAGCAGAGACTCCTGCATTTTGCATTCCTCATCCATGGGACAGAAGGTATCTTTCATTTATAGGTCAGAGAATCAGATTCATGATTTCTAATGAAGAGGCAAAAAGGGGTTAAGTAATTTCCCAAGAATGTTAATGCAGGGAGGAAAGATTAAAATATAGTGGTTTCTTCATTTCCAGGCCAAGGCTTTTCTCCCTACTCTGCCACCAGCAGAGCCTCAGCTTTCTAGATGAGCTTAACCTTCTGTATACTAATAGGGAGAGAAATTTAAGGGACCTTTAAAATCCCCTAAATACATAAGGTGCAATTGGACAGGGACAAGAAGAAAAAGAAAATAACAGAAGAGCTAGGAATTTTGGAGGTACCTTTCTTTTCAAACAAGTCTTTGGAAGCTTTGCCTTCATTTCTCCTGGGAGCAAGATATTTCTGAAAGTACTATTTTTAGCCATACTCTGGCACAATCAGCACTTGGGCATGTTCTCTACGTGTATGTTCTCCCTGAAACACTCCTTGCTATCACTCTCTGGAGGGAGGATGAGAGCTGAGGAAAGACAGGTTCTAGGCTTAGAGATGGGCACTGTGTCTAGTACTGATTTTTTTTTTCCTCATCCACACACCACTTATAGGCCAATTGTCCAGTTAATACAGGGAGGATTCCTACCAGACAGTCAGGGAGTGAAGGATAGAACTTTTGAAATTTAGAAGAAAGACAGGAATTCCAGCCTGCTGCATTACAGGAGATATTGCCTAAGCATATTAGGAAATTCAAAGCCACGCCATGTCTTAGAGACTGGAGATGTTTAGTCAGGAGGACAGGACGTTATAATTGTCTTTATGTATTTGAAGACTTGTTCCTCTTGGCCTCAAGCCCCTTTCAACTCTGATATTCTATTATCAATGATTCTGTAAGTGATAACAAGTTAGTTCCATCCTCCCAAATCTCTGACCTAAAAGCAGCTTGATAATTAGTTCTTTCAGATTTTATCAAGAGGTTCAGTCCATCTGTGTTGCCACTGTCATGTCCACCTGTTGATGAGACTTTGCCAAGAGTTGGAAATGAGTAAGTTCCTTCGGCATTTCTTTCATTACTACCCTACCCTCTGTTGCCTTGGAAACTCTAAGCTGCCCACTGAGGACTGTGGGATGAGGGAATCCTCTCAGGACTCAAGCTGGATTAACCAAATCGTCTTTTAAAATAGAGACTGGTATTAATCCAGTCCTGAAATGACTTTCCTGTGCTGACTTCTGTATGATAAATGGGCCCATTTTCTCTAATGAGGTCAGCATGCTAATCTTTGGAAATCAAGAGAATGAACAAAGTAGGTTCAGTCACTGAGATTATTATTCTCAACTTGGTAAGGGTGGAAGTTTCCAGTTCCCTCATCAAAGGCCTTCCCAGTAGGACAGAGGTATCCCCACTAAGAGCTTCCCATCCTTTATACCTTTACAACCTTAGAATAATGTTTATTGAATTAAAGAGATCTATACACCTCCATGATCTTTCTTTCCCTCCTTCTCTTCCTTTTTCCCCCCTCTCTTCTTACTTCCTAGATACCTGATGGCACAGGCCACAGAACTGGTACAACATATGAAAAAGAACAAGGTAAGGAGCTACCAAATCCACTTTCAGGATGTACTACTGTAAAACAGTCAGGCCCAATTGAAAAGGGAATAGGCTATTGTACTTGCCCTCTGCCACCCAGTGTTGACCACCTGACTCGCCCACAGTTCTTTGTTTTGTCTTCAGAATTTAAAGATGACCCTTGTATGGTGATCCTCCATAAGGTTTCCTGCCTCAGATGCTTCATGTGGGTACCTGAATAAAATTAGGGGGATTACTGGTTGACTTCTCATTGTTACTTCAATTAGTAGGCCTTAATGATTAGACAGTAATTCTTTGGGAGGGAAGCTTTTTGTAACATTGCCCAGTAGATTTGTAGATCATGTCTGTTATTTATTGCCTTTGCAATTCACTTTTTGTAAACACTGTGCTAAATGTCTTATAGCCTGTGTAAGTTAGATGGATAAAAGGTAGCAAAGTAGAAAATCAGGTCTGGTTATGGGCTGCCATGTTTGAGCTAATTTGGACCTCCTAGTCCAGAGTCTACCTACATAAACCCAAGAAAAGTTTAGTTCAATTTCTCAGAGTGGCTTGAAATAAGAGTCACAAAAATCTGAATTTGAAGATGGTGGCAAAACCAGTTTGTGCAGAGTTAGATCTCAAATACGGGTGCTATACCTTATGCAAGCCAATGTTAGACCCATTTTGCCTGAAAATTCAGGTGGTGCCATGGGAACTTTTATCCAAGAGACTTGAATAGGCCACATGAATTTCTAGAGTCCTCTATGATTGACATATTCAGATATTATCAGAACTGAAACTTTTGATTCCTCTAATAAACGTCATGAAACGTATTCCTAAATCAACCTTGTAAATGTAAATTTAGTTGAACAGGCAGAGATCCTAGAATTCTTCAAGGACATTGCTGGAGGATGTGCCTAGGTCAGAGCTCACCTGGTTGTGATCAACTGGGGAGAGGAAGTCGACTGATAGCTCTCTAGTTTGAATAAAATTCTTCTAGTTTACTCAATACTAAGATTAGTTTATTCTCTGCTGTTGAAGGAGCACCAATTCTATCACCAAAATCCTCTTCAAATTTCATGCCTTGGGTCAAAGTTACAGCTCTGTTTTAAACACAAGGCCTTACCATCTTCTTTTTCTCCCCTGATATTTTTCTCATTTTAGGAACTGAATTTTGATAATGACTGGAAGCTCATCTATGTCTTCTTTGACTCCCAGATCCAGTGTCATCCTTGTTTCTCAACTCAACAGGTAAAATGGCAGCTGCACTGTCTGAAAGTTGCCTTCCCCGCTTTTATCTGCTGTTCTACCTGAGGGCATGGGGTATGAAGTAGCACAGCTCCTTGGTTTTTTTCAAAGAACCCTGAGAGGCAGCATTTTAGAGTCTCCTCCCTCAACAAGGGACTCAAAGAACTTTCAAATGTGAAGGAGATCAATTTAATATTTATGATACATCTGTTTCGTGCAAAACAAAGGCTCTGTGGTATTCCCATTCTAACAGATCAAGAAACCAAAGCTGGATAAATTCAATTGATGATGGAGCAAAAATGAGAACCCAGGAAAAACCAACTTGCCACTCAGTAAATATTTATTTCTCATTTAAAAAAAATTAATCCTGATTTCCTATATAAAAAGCTGCTATATATAAAAGTTTCCTATGTATAAAGTTGCTAGAATTAAACAAGATTTAGGAAATAATAGTAACTCTTTTGCATATTTATAATTTATACAGACTTTTCTTCACAGAAACCAATAGAAATTTTAACAGTGCATTTTAATAATCTCATTCTACAACTGAGGAAAAAGAAATTCAAAGAAACAAAGGGTTACACAGCTAGGAAATGTCAGAGCCTTGCTTTCAACCTGTCTCCTGACTCTAAAGCCAGCATACTACATGACTCTAATATCTAGTTTGCTCTTACTATGGTGATGGGGTATATTTTTTTTTTTTTTTGTGCCCACCTTCCTCCTTTTCTCTATGGCTGCAGAATCCCACCTATAATTGACCTCCCTCTAATTCACAAACACCCCGTGGCTAACACTCCAAGCTTACTCCACTCTCAGACCATCTTTGAACCACACACTTGAGCCATAAGTTAAGATTCTTGGCTTGCTACTTTCCAACCACTATTGGAAAGGGTCCTCATTATTTCTAATTCACATGCAGTAGGAAATCAGAGACAAGAAATAAGTGTATAGTTCTTTAGGGCAGGGATTGCACCTTCTCCTTGTTATATGCTTACTTCTTGTGGTACCTATGTCTGATGTGAGAGCTTTGTTTTGTAAGTGATTAGTAAAAGCTAAACGAATCTAAGAATTTGACTTCACTCTGGGAAGTCAGGGCCAAATACATTTACATATATGTACATACCCCACCCCTCACTCCCCACCCCTACACATAGAAGACCCATGTGTTCTAAAAGATAAGTTTAACAGGCTGAGTGCTGTACTTGGAGTCATGCAATCAGGGTTGAAATCTAATCTCAGACTTTTATTGGTTAGGTGACCTTGCTTTCCCTTGGTTTCGTTTTCCTTTTAAGTGCAGGTGTTGGACTGACCAGTCTTTAAAGCGCTTTTCCACTTGAAGTCCTATGTGCAAAAAGAAAACTTCCTCTTATTAGCTGTTGCCCTAGGGGCCAGCTCCTTACCTTTTCCCTCCCTCTTCTGTCAAATTCAGATGTTGGATTGGGTGATCTCTCTTGCCCTTTCCATAAGGGGTGGTATGATGAAAGATGAATTAGATTTCAAATTGGGAGCTTTGGATTCAAATCCCACCGCCCATAGTTAACTGGCTCTGAGTGACCTTCATTTGGTTCTATATTAAATGGAGATCATAAAATGTTGTGCTTCAAAGTGGTATCCTTGGGGAAGGACTTAATAAATTATAAAACACTATAGAATGTAGAATTTTGTTGGACCGAGCAGAAATCCATCCCAGAGCATAGCACCTCGGTCATAGTAACAGCCTCAAGCATAGCAACTTCCCTATAGTAGGCACATAATAAATGTTGAATGAGATGGTGCAAACAGAATGCAGAGGCAGGAAGAGAAAGAAGGTGGAATCATTTTCAACTATGGGAGGGCCTGTCAGGAAAGGCTTCATGTTTAGAGAGAGAACATGGGTCTACATCAGCTAAAGAAAAAACACGTGCCTGAATCCTTCATTTCAGGCAGCGGAAACCTGCTAAGGGGACAATTCTAGTTCCCCTCCAAGATTGGGCAATTTTATTTTGAGGGGAGTTGGCCCACTGCCCTCCTGCGTGGAATCAATACCTGAGGAGATTGGCAGCTGTCTTAGCTTCTCTGTAAGTGTCCCCCAAGGGAATAAAATATCTGTCAGCCCTCTTTCCCAGCAGCCCTGGAGGCCTGCCTGGGCCCTGTAGCCTCAGGGGACAGCCAACCAATGTGCATATGGTTTGGGTTGGGTAGAGGTTGGTTTGATTTTTTTTTTCTACTGAAAAAGGGAGAGTATTCATTTATGGTGTCAATCTCATAAACATTTTGAGGAGCTCTGAACGATAGTTTCATTTTCCCAGCTACAGGGAAGGAAGAAAGGTGTTTTATGCGGTGTTTTACTTACCTGTTTAAAAACAGGGACCAATGGGAGAAAGGGTCCTAGGCTGTCTCTTTCTCTGGTGACCCTTTTTCTGTCTCAGTAAAAATAAAGAGAAGAGGGGCTAATAAAATTCTGTTCATAACAACATGCATTTATTAAGCGCAGTAGAAAAACAAAGATGAAACCAAATTTTTCTCCTTATCCTCAAAGGGCTTACCTTCTTATGGGGGTTGCTTCTTGAGGGGAGTCTATCTTAAGACTATTTTTAGTCTATCTCCAGGGTCTTGGACAGGGCATGACACACAGTAGGCTTGTTACACTTGTTGAATGATTGATTGAATGAATGAATGAATGAACATCTTGACATGAATCAGGAAGCCTCTGGATGAATTCACTTCCTTCTTTGCAGGACTGATTTCCTCTGGCAAAAACCCTTCTACCTACCAAACCTTGGGAGAACAATTCCTGTTGCTAATGCCTGTGAAGGTCAGCTACACAACTGGCCAGACAGTGCTTACCTCACCCAAGCTTTCAGTTTGATTTATCCTTTTCTGATGCTTAACATCTCATTTGCTTGTGTTTTTTCCTGTCTTGGTAAGTAAGAGAGATGAAGGTAACTCAGAAGTAGCCATAAATAGGAAGACCCCTCAAGAAATAGCACCTATGATAACTGGTTGCTGGAAAACTATCATATAGAGTAGGATTGTCCTCTTGGCCAGTGGAGGGAGACAGGTCTCCAGGAAACTACTATTCTGGCATGAAATTGTTTGCAGAAACCTTTTCCTCCAAGGCATATCTCTTTCTTGTAGGATGATCACATGAACAGCAGCATGCAAGAACTAACAGGAGTCTTGGACTATTTGCATCAGGAGGTAAGGATTTTTCAGGACTCTATTTCTTAGACTTCTAGTACCCTGGTAACATCTCAGCCTCTTAGCCACCTACAGAGAACACATATCTACCCAATGACCCAAACACATACTCCCACAAGCTAAAGTAGTATGAACCAGAAGTTGTCTTTTAAAGGGGTGGGGTGTTGGATCTTAGGTCATTACATTTCTTGTCCTAGATACTCTGACTCTCTTACTACCACATCTGATTGCATATGTTTTGAGGGCTAAATCATGTCCAAGATCAAGACCTATCTGAATAGTCTCGATCAATCCTTTGACCATGTTAAATAGTAAACCATAGGAGCTTGGCAGAAAGCTCTGGGACTCTGGATATAGGACTTTTCTAAGATAAATTTCTGTGTGTAAAAATAAGTAATGAAACCCTGGTGGCCAGTGGTTATCTCAGCTGTGTGAGTGATTAAAACACAGAGCCCACTGACCTCTTATCCTCCCAAGGATTGCTGACCTGCTGGCATGGGAGAAGGTAGGGTTAGCCTGGAAAGGGATGAATGTTTTCCTATCTCCTTTTTTTTTTTTTAACACCACTTTGTTTTCTCTTGGAACATTCTGTTGCCTATGGTGATGCCCACTAATTTGTACCTCCCTATTCTAAGACTTAGAATTTGAGAGGTAGCTCCGTGTAGGTGAATGAACATTGGTGCAAGGGAAGCAGGAAGGGGGAGGGAGAAAGGAAGAGAGCAAGGGAGGAAGGGAAGGAGGTAGCATTTATTAAGCACCCATCTACTGTGTGCCAGCACCAGTGGTAAGTGTTTTACAAATACTCCATCTGATCTTCACAACAATCCTGGGAACTGAATGCTATCATTATTCTCATTTTAAAACTGAGGAAACCGAGACTGAGGTTAAATGACTTGTCCATGGTCATTCAGCTTCTAAATTCCTGAGGTCAAGATTTAAACTCAAATCATTCTGACTTTAGACCCAACACTCTTATCTGCTGCACTACCTTGGGAGTCTGAGTACGCATGTTCAAGTTCCACAATACTGATATTTTCTAGCTGTGTGACCCTGGGCAAGGCTGTCCTCCTGTCTGTGCCTCAGTTTCCTAAACTTTAAAATTGGAATGAGGGGCTACTGATCTCATAAGAGTGTTGTGGTGGAAGTACTCTGTGAATCTCCAAATATTACATGTTGAGAGCGAGGACTGTAGTTTTCTTTTACACATTTATTCTTATCCGTTCATTTGATCCAAACAGTTTTTCTCTCAGTGAGAAAAGTTTCCTCAGGGCTAAAAGGTATTTTTATGGACTGAGTCTTTTTCCTCTCCCCAGGAGAAAGTTTCCAGACACCATCCTGAGATGATGTCATCTCAGATGAAGTTCTGGCCTCAAACCAAAAGAATGTACATTTCTCTCTAATGGACTGGACAGGATACCTTGTGAAACTGGGTTAAAGCATTTGAAACTTTGTCTTCCCTGTCCTGTCTTCATTTTTAAAAACTCTACCCTCGTTGGAGACTTTAGGCTTGGATTCAAAGGATTCCCATGATTTGAGATAGTGGAGCCTGGGTCATGTGCCTTGTTTCCATGGGCTTTATTGAAGAACAAAGTGATAAAAGGGCAGCTAAGTGGCACAATGGATGGAGTACTGGCCCAGGAGTCAGGAGGACCTGAGTTCAAATCCAGCCTTACACACTTATTTATCTGTGTGACCCTAGGCAAGTCACTTAACCCTATTGCTTCTAGCACTTCATCTTCTATGCCAATGGCATCAGACTCAAATAGGAACAGGGCCACTAAACCATACAACCTATGTGCCTGACATTGACTTTGACAACCATTTATTAATATTACCTATGTTTTTATTTATTTTGTTAAATATTTCCCAATTACATCTTAATGTGATTCTTGCCTCCCTGGTAGTATTACAAGCCACAATGTGGCCTATAGATAGTAGGTTTGATACCTCCGCTCTATGATGCACTGACTTGCTTTGGTGAGTTGATTTTTTTTGCATTATAATATATGTGATGGTTGTGGCTTATGGTTCCTGACTTTATCAGTGGTGTCCTTGTGAATCTGACTGGGTGGGTTTAACATTTATGCTAAATAGAAGCTAATGCCCAAGCATGCTACCAAGAATCCTTTTTATCTGACAAATAAACTTGGTGTGGTGCACATAGGCATAAAGATGACTGCTCTAAATGAATGTAGCAAGCATGGTAGCCCGTGAGTTTGAGATGTTCCACACTAAGGTTCATATCATTTCCAAAGCAGTCCCCAACACTCAACACACTTCTCCAGCAGAATGATTGTGATTTTGCAGGTATCACTCTCTCTCCTATGGTCTCTTAGGTCCCCAAAGCCTTTGTGAATCTGGTGGATGCTTCCGAAGCTTGGATTCTATCACAGATGGAGGATGGACCCAGGTAAAGCCAATCCCACAAGTGTCCTGAGGTGACATTTTTGGAATCAAATGCTAAACTTTCTACTGGAATCCTCATTCGATACCTGGCATCCAAGCCTGGTTCTCTACCCATTGCAACCTATAGCTGCCGTTTAAGTTGAGATAGGGATGGGAGAATTAGAGCCCCAGTAATTTTTCACCCAATCCTTTGTTCTCTTCATCTCTCCTTATTTATTCATTTCCTTTTGATGATGGGCCTCACCTCTTTCTCCTAAGCTCTCATCTCAATATATAGCCAGTCTGTCTGGTCCATGGCAACTTGTTGTCCCCAAGAGGGCAAAGGATCATAGATTTATGATCTGAGTTGGAAAGGACTATAGATCAGGACTTCTTAATCTTGTGTAATGGGCACCTTTGGCAATCTGATGATGCTTCTTGACCCCTTCCCAGAATAATGATTTTAAATGTATAAAATACAATACAAAGGATCATATAGACATGTCATACAGATAAAGGAATCGTATAGACATACAGTTATCAACATATTAAAAAACCACACAACAAACAAAGTTCATAGATGCCAGCTAAGAACTTTTCATCTAGTCTAGCCTTCTCCCATTTTTGAAATGAGGAAACTGAATCCTAGGGAGGTTAAATGACTTGTCCAAAGTCACTGAGGGAATAAGTATCAGAAGCAAGATTGAAACCCATGGTTTTTGTTTCTGTTTTGCTTTGATCTATAGGAACCTGAAGGAAGTGTGTGAGTGCTCAGAGAATTATTCTGAACTGGTCACAGCTTTGAAGAGATGGTACTATCAGGTGAGAATGCTACCTTTGGGGCATAGCATCAAGCATTGGCTCAGACATTGGCATAAAGGCAAAGCAAACCTTCCCTGCACTCCAGCTTACTGAAATTACTTGGGTGGTGGGAGCTATTGTACTTTCTCCTGGAATCTATTTTCTCACAAGTCAAACGGGAATTTCCTTTCTGTATGACATTTGTGGATTTTTTTTTTAAATGATAGCTATGCAAAATCTTAAGTGCACTAAAATTGCATTTTATTGTCACTTTAAGGCTTATATTTCCTAACTAGTGTCCTATAGGACAGGTAGTACATATCTTCATTTGAGGAGAAAACTGAGCCTCATAATTGAAGTGAGTTGCCAAGGTCACACATCAAGTTAGTATTGAAGCCAGAATAGATACTGTCTAGTGACAGTCTGAGCTGTTTGGCTCAGCTGATTAGGGAATCATTCCAACAAATTCAAGGTAAGATCATTAGATTTACAATTGACATGAACCTCAAGAATTATCTGGTGTGATCTCTTGATCATATAGGTCAATCAGCCAATAGGCATATATCATGCTCTTACTATGTGCTTAGGATTATGCTAAGCCCCATATATACAAAGGTAAAAGGGAAAACATTCCTGGCCTCCAGGATCTTAAATCCTGTTGGGTCCTGTTTCCTTCAACATGTGGTTCAGTTGGCTTTGCACAGTGTGTTCTTATGCCACACCTAACCCATCATTTTGCAGATAAATATTTTTCACAGAATCTGAGATAGGAGGATCTTCAGTGGCCTTCTGGTAGACCTGTACCTGCTCACTAAATATTTCTGTGATGTCCCTAGAAGTGCTCATCCAGCCTCTACTTGAACCCTCTCCCCCCAATTTAAGAGGAATTCTGACTGTCTCCTGAAACAGCTATCCACTTTTGCATAGCTCTAGGACTTAGGAAGCTTTCCTTTACATCAAGGCTATATTTTCCTCTTGGTAACTTGTAACAACTGTTCCTAGTTCTGATTTCTGGAGGTGAGAATCTCAAGTCCAATCGCTCTCCCATAGACTAGGCCTTTGCATGCTAAAAATAACTCTCATAGGTCCCAAAAGAGGCTATGAGATACTGTTTGTGGATAACTCTGAGAAAACCATCCCTACAATTGGGTAACAAACCAAAGCACAAATATGACCAACACCACAATGCTCAATAGTAATTTTTATTTATAATAGTTAGTGTTCCAATACCCTGACACTGTCCTGTAGTGACATTAATTTTGTACTTTGAAGTTACTATTATAAAAACTGAAGACTCAATAGATCATGGGCCACAGAGTGTGTGTGTTGGCCTATATTTCCTATCTGTGATGAGTTTGTGACCATACATAGCTCCAAGAGGTGACCAGTGGCCCACAGGACCTCTTTCCTTAAGGAATTTGAGTTCTGAACCCTTATCCTGGAGGTGGACCTGAATCCTGCCATACAGGGGAGGGGGGGTCCAGATTTTCCTCTCTTTAACTGTGGCCCTTTACACCCTCACCCCAAAGTAGCTTAGAGAAATAGATATAATAAAACTAAGATATGGCTCATGTGTGAGTAAAAGGGTCCTTTCTAGAAAGGTGTTCAATTTACAATAAGGTATAGGGCACCTATTTATTGAAATAACTCTTGCACATGACATACTTAATATGTTAATTCACAGGACTCCGAATAAATACAGAAACATATTCAAATAGCCCAACAGCTTGTCCTGAGGAAGGAAATAAACTTGGAATTGTGCCCTGTGATTCTTTGACAGCAACCAGGGGCTGTTTATGCTCGAGGAAACCTTATAGGTCCCCTAGGTGTTGTTCAGAACAACGCATCGTAGCTGATCCTGGTGCAAGGTTCTGTTCAAGATCCCCACAAAGTACAACAAAAAGAAAACTTCACGTGGTCAGGTGAGGCATAGACACTTTACCCAGCTGCTCGACCCCTCACCTATTTGCTTTTTTTTTTCTTTTTCCAGAATTCATGGGAAAAATTCCTGACCTCAGACAGATATGACACACAAGACACTTTCACAGTAATTTACCAATCTTTCTTCCAGGAAATGGATCCTTCTCTTTTCCTGGTGAGTGTAGGGGGAAGGCTAACACAAAAGATAGAAGGGAGCGAAGAAAGAGCTCACTGACATAGTCCTGTAACATACCGCTTTCTGGACTGAATCTCCAGCTGGGAAACACATTAGGGATCAGTTGGTCCAGGCCTCTCATTTGAAGTATCAGTAAACTGAAGCCCAGAGAAGAAAAGATATTTAGCTATATTCCTTCTATCTAGAGTTTAAGTGCTGGGGGAGGGAGGTAAGATGCTAGTAGATTCTTTTTTTTTCTAGTTTTTTTCACTGGAACCTCTAAAAACAGATTCCAAAGCCCTAGCCTCTTCCAAAAACAATAAACTATGACCTTTCTTTATTCTTCATAGAAGCCTAGTCCTAGATGATAAGGATCCTTAGAATCAATTAGACCAACTATCTTATTTAAAAATGTTGATATAAGTTATATTAAATGCCTATCATTCAGCCTTGATTTTTGGGTATTCAGTCATTCGGAGTCCCATGGTAATGAGTACAGGAATATTGTTTTGTTATTCCTATGGGTAACAATGTATGTGCTCCTTTATGAAAACATCCTAGATCCCTGACCCCAGCCAGCTATCTCACAACTGTAGGTCATCTGTCACAGGGGAAAGTACGCCTATTTACACGCTAGTAGGGTGAGAGTCCACATGAATCAGAATAGAAACGTTTCCATTAGTGTAAAATCTTCTCAGAGTAGCATCCTGTCTGGGTCCCAAGTTCTGAAGTTTCATCTTTCATATGGGCTCTTTTTCAGGGGAACGAGACTCTTGGCCCCTCCCTGAACAAGTTGTCGCTTGTGCTTGCCTTGAGCCTCTGGAATGGCATGGTGAGTTGACAGAATCACGATTGGCGCTCTTGTCCTAGAACTGTGGTACAGGGCCAGAGGCATTGCCATAGGCCTAGAGCCAGAGGTGCAAAATGTACAGCTACTCCATACCACCTCGGCCCCCAATTAATTTATCACTAATTGCTACAGAGAAAGCAGATGGGCATTCCATAGGCTGTGACCTTGGCTGGCAAGGTGCTATGTGGGGCTCTGGCTGAAGCTGTTTTCAGCTTTGGGTGCTCTGACAATTCTGGCCTGTTGGAGGTCCAGGGTGTGGGGGTCGGTAGTGGCGGTAGTGCAGAGCTACACTTCAGAGTTAGCACAATTCTCTTTGTTGATGCCTCTTCTGGGTCACATGTGACTGTTTGACAAGGTCCTCTTTCCTAGTGCTTCATGCCAGGCAGCATTTTATTCTAGACATTGACCAGGCTGTGGAGTAGCAATCCTCCCTTGGATGTCTCATGTCGATTCTTCCCAGAATCTCTCAGCATGTTTCACACTTAACCTCTCAGTGGAGTGAACAGAGCAACAGATCAAGAGCTAAGAGACTTGGGTTCTATTCCCAGCTCGGCCATTTGTCAGCTGTACTCATTCATGGGCCAGCTCTGAGGCTCAGGTTTCTAACTCAGAAAATAAGGGGAATGGATTATTAAGTGATCTCCTAGGTCCCTTTACCAGCTCTATGATCTAAGATCTATGATGAGGCAGCTAGGTGGCACAGTGGATAGAGCACTGGCCCTGAAGTCAGGAGGACCTGAGTTCAATCCGGCCTCAGTCCAAAACTTGACACTTACTAGCTGTGTGACCCTGGGCAAGTCAATTAACCTGAATTGCCTAAAAAAAAGAAAAAGAAAAAAAGATCTATGACTGACTGAGAACACAACTCTAAGGTGTTTTCTTTACGTGAAGTAGGAGCTTAATAAACACTCGTCAAAATGGTTGAATTGAACCTATGAGCTCTGCCATCTACCCCGTTGCCCTGGAACCCAAGTAATGGCTAGGATTCATGGTCCCAAAGAGGTTGTTGTTGTTGTTGCTGGGGTTTTATTCGCAAAGACACTGTAGTGTTTTGCCATTTCCTTCTCCACCTCATTTTACAGATGAGAGAGAACTGAGGCAAATAGGGTTATAAGTGACTTGCCCAAGTTCACACAGCTAGGTTGGATTTGAACTTGGGTTGGTAAGTCTTCCTGACTGAAAGCCTGGGGCTCTATTCACTATGCTGTCACCTAGCTGCCTCATGTGGAGTCAAAGGACCTGGGTTCAAATCTCAACTCTCACTCTCACTACTTATGTGACTTTGGTCAAGTCACCTAACCTCTCTCTGCCTCGGTTTCCTTCTTTTGCAAATTAATGAGTTGAAATACCTGGCCCCTGAGTTCCCTTTCACCTCTGCAGCTGTGATCCTATCAACAGCGATCTAGGTGATACAATGGCTAGAGTATCTGACTTATATAGTCAGGAGAACCCGAGTTTAAATTCAGCCACATGCATTTACTAGCTATGTAGTGGCCTCCAGAGTCCGTTTCCTTACATCCAAACTGTTCTGCCACCAAATATGGGAAATGAAGCACAGATTGAATACCTTGGACGAGGGGCTAACCTTGGGCTTGCCTCACAATCCTTACCAGGCCAGGGCATTGTCCTCAGAGGTCTCTCTTTCTCACTAGTATTCAAGGCCCCACCTCAAGTCCTTTCCTCTGTGGCTCTCCAGGTTCAAGCAGAGAGCTGCTGGTTCCCGTTTTTTTTCCCCTTTCCAAGCTGCCCTATTTTTAGAACTCCACTGACAGAAACATGTTTTTCTTCTCCCTCCCTTTAGAGAAGGGCCTCCCTCCTCCCAGTTGAGGGACTTTGTTGGCTGACTGATGGGAACAGCTGCATTTCGACATGTGTCAACCTGGATGGGGCCTGAGGAGGGAATCTTGTAGGGGGGAGAAAAGTTCCCACCAAGGCAGCCAGAGCAAATGAGAAACACACTGTCCCTAGGGAGAGGTGCTGGATTTCTTTCTAGGGTGAAATGTTTGGGGGGGCAGCTTGTCTTACAAAATCTTTTCTATTCGGCCTCACTGACCCTGACTGGAGGGAGAAATCTGCTCAGGAAAACCCTGCTGTTAGTAACATGCTATGTAATCTTGTACTTATTTTCCAGGCCTGAAATAGTCAGGCAAGGCCTGCCCCTTGTGGGCCCTCCCAGTCCATTCGTTGCCTGTCCTCCTGGATGGGAGGAGTGTTAATGATGCTTATCACAAGCTCTGCAAACCATCCTCTTCCTATTACCTCATTTTTCTCCCTCCCTCCTTACCTGCCTCACTCCCTCTCTACCTCTCTTCTTTCTCCCCCTTTGATTTTCCTCTTTTTCTCCTCCCTATCCTCTCTCTTTCTTCTCTCTCTCTCTATCTCTGGCAAAATTATTCAGGTATTTGCTGAGTCCCTATTATGTACTTATGTCCCTCCTCTGCCTGAAAACCCTTCATGGTTCCCTGTTGCTTCCTCCAAGGAAAATTCAAACTAGTTTGGCTGTGTTCAAGACCTTCCATCTGTCACCATCCTTCCTTTCCAGTCTTACCTCATATTCTTCCCTACCAAGTACTTTGTGCTCCTGGACTGTTCCTTACACAAAAATCATGCCCTAAGTTTTTTGTTTTTGTGTTTTAACTCCAAGCCTTTGTTCATGTTGTTAGGCGTTGCAGTGTATAATAACGGTCAGCTTTCATATAATGCTTTACACTTTGAAAAATGCTTTACAAAGTTAACTCGTTTGATCTTTACAGCTCTGGGAGGTATCATATTATATCTCTACTTTACAGATCAGGAAACTGAGTAAATAGAGGTTAAGTGATTTAGTAAGACAGTATTCAAACTCAGGTCTTCCCACCTCTAGCTGAGTGCTCTATCCACCTTGTTCCAACCTTGGAGCCCAGAAAGTCTGAGTTCAAATCCTGCCTGAGATACTATGTGACCCTGGCCAATTCATTTATCTTCCCTCAGCCTCAGTTTCCTCATCTGTAAAATATGGATAATAATAGCATCTACCTCCTAGTGGTATTATGGAGATTAAATTAAATAATATTTGTAAGTGCCTGGTATACTAGGTAAATGTTAAGTTATTCTTGTATTGTAACTGTCTCTCCTTTGTTTGCTCAACAAACAATTTAATTCCACAAACATTTATTACACAGTGACTACTGCATGACTACTGGAATGTCCTTTCTCTCCTTCTCTGCTTGCTGAACAAACAATTTAGTTCAATAAATATTTATTATTTAGTGACTATTACATGCAAGTTAAACATCGAATAGTGGCTAAGAAGCTATTGTAGTAGAAGTCATGAAGATCTGCCTTCAGCTCCTGCCTCTGGCATATTGACTGGGCCAGTCATCATCTTTAAGTGGCTCAGGAAACTCTCTAAGATGACAAGTTACAGATGAATTATTGATCCCAATTTGTAGAGAGAGGTTCCATATTTGGATTTTCTCACACTGGTGAAATTTCAGATCAGGATACCCCAAAAAATATATTGGGGGTCATAGGCTAGGAACCAAATGAGTGTTACATGTGTTGAAATGAGGAGGATGGAGCAGCAAGAGTGGGGTGGAGCTGGAGGAGGAGATATCCCAGAGAGCTGATTGTTACAGCTCACTCATACCTACCACTTGCCCCTAAGAATTATCCTCCCAATCTTCTACAAGTCCCTTCATTGCCCCTGGGGTTTCTCAGGAATGAGCCATTGTAACAGTGATTATTAAGTTAGGTGACGAGTTTGGGGGGTGGGAGTGCAACATTCCAAGACTACTTAAAGTCCAGTTTACAACTAAGGTAAATGTCAACTTCCCTCATAGGTCTGAGGGTTACATGGCAAAAATCTTGACTGAAGTCTCACTCAGCCTCCCCAACCACTCAGTTCATCCCCACCACTACCCACTTGCCAGAGCATAGCCAACTCCATGAGAAACTTGAGGCCAGGAAACTCAAAGGAAAATACGCTGGACAATTATTTCTAATTTCATTTCATAGAATTACAGATTTAGAGATGGAAGGGAGTTCACAAGCTACCTAATCTAACCCCTTCATTTAGTAGAGGAGGAAACTGGAGCCCACTTAAGACTTGCCCAAGGTCACACCAGTAGTGACGGTCAGAGGTAGGATTTTAATTGTCATCTTCTGACTCCAGAAACCAGTATACTTCACACTACACTGTTCTACCCATGAAGCCTAGGTTCTCATTCTAATTCTACTATTAATTGAAATTTGAGGTGAATCACTTAATTTCTTTATGCCTCAGTTTCCCCAACTATCAATTAGGAAAGACAACAGCTTAGCATTATATAGCTCTGTACTCAGGACAGTAATGATAAATGTTTACTGGCTCTCTAAAATGTACTCAGGACACATTTTTCAGTTTAAATTGCATCATTAACATCATCTCCATCACTTTCTCAGGTGTTAAATAATCAATGAAACAGTAAGGCAGGCCTTGATTTGTTGCATTAGCCAATTTCTGTGGTGTAAATGGTAATTCTGAGTATTTGTTCTTTTGAGCAGGATCAAGTTGTTTCCTGCACACTCTATTACATGATCTTGTTTCACGTGTATTACATATGTGTTCTTGTTTCACATGTCTTTCATTTGACTGTTGTGACAATATATTAAATAGCTTACCTAAGATCCCACAGCTAGAAAATGACCTTTAGGACTTGAAGTCTTTCTTAGAAGTCTAATATGTTTTTCACAATACCATCTTGCCTCCCAGTTATGCTGCCTTAAGACTTTCTCCGAAGGCTGTTGTGAAAACTGGTGAAGCCTTTTTTCTTAATGACTACACCAGTTTCTTCCCCTCTTAGGTCCTTAATTTTCATATCCTCAAAATGAGGAGATTGAACTAGGTCATTAACAGGTTGCGTGAGAGCCCTTTCAGCTCTAAATCTTATGGTCCCCTGATCCTCTGGTATCCTGGCTCTGTGCCATAACAAACATAGAGAGCTTAAAAGCCCTCCATTCTGTATTCTTTGCATCAAGGTTGCCCCTGACTGCCCTGAAGAACAGCCTCGCCCTGGTCTGAGCCCCACATAGAGCCTTGGATAAATTTAGAATGCGAGTAGCTCTTGCATGAAGGTTGCAAATATCTTTTCCTTCTTCCATCCCTTGCTTTGGGCTGCTGTAATTATTCCATGGGGTGTCATGATCAGAACTCACTTATTGGATCCCCTTCTAATCAGAAGTTTCACAGCAAATTGGAAGAAGGTTAAAGTTCTCTCACCTTTCTCATTTACTGGAACACAGGTGCTTTGCAAAGATAAGATAAGATACTTTTGGAGAACTTGGTTTTGTCTAAAGCTAGAGTGACTAAACAAGAAAATGAAAGGAAGAGCAGGTAGAAACTTTTATTAATACACCAGTGGCTCTCAGCCCAGGATATGTCCTTGTACCTGGCAGGGTGGGAATTATCCAAATGGGTGAGATAAAAGATTCATTTGCATATTTTAGTATGTGCAGAAAATAAAAGGAAAGAGACAAAATTCAATTCACCAAATATTTATTAAGCATCTATTTGCAAGGCACAGTGCTATACCATAGAACATGGCTTCTTAACCATTTTGTGTGTGTCATAGCCTTCTTTGGAACTCTGGTAGAGTCTATGGACTCTTCAGAATAATGCTTTTAAATGCATAAAATAAAATACATAGAATTAATAAAGGAAACTACTTACAATGAAGTTGTCAAAATTTTTCTTTTAAAAACCAAGTTCAAGTTCCCCTGCTTTAGTGACACAAAAACAAAAAATGGAACAATCCCTGTCTTCAATGAGTTTACATTGTACTAGGGAATGTGAAATGCCCAAGTAAATAAATACAAAGTTTATACAAAATAATACAAAGTGATATGCAGTAAGCCAAAAACTACTTAGAAATCATCTAGTTCTTTAAGGCCCCTCCATAAAATTTTGCTTTCCTTTCCCATCCCTAGTGGAGAAGCTAATAATCAATGCAATGTCCAAAATTCCATCAGGAAGACGCAAGAGGAAAACACTGAGGACTTCCATGATTCACAGACTACATAATGAGCCCCAGATGATCAAAACTTGGCCATAATTATTGTAATGAAAATGTAGATACTATTGTATTTCATCGGGTCCCATCACTAGTACTAAGATGTAAGGTGGAAAATGTCAGGTAGACAGATAACTATAATGTAATTTAGAATGAGACACATTCTCAAGGGATATCAAATGGAGAAGCATAGGAGACTGGGAAGGTAGATATCTTCTGACTTGGGAAATCAGGCATGGTTTCATGGAAGGGGTGACCCTTCATTGGGAACTTGAAGGAAGGCAACAAGTTATATAGCACAACAGTGTTACATTTGGACTCTTGGTTCAAATCCTGGCTTTGAAATCTTAATAGCTTTGGCCATGGACAAGTCATTTCTTTCAGCCTCATTTTCCTTCAGTATAAAATAGGAATAATAATACCTACAGTGATCCACTTTAGAAGGTTGTAGGGTGGTATGTAAGTTTCTTGAGAGGTGGGACTTCTTTGATGGGTTTTTGCTTAAGGAACCCCTAACCCCTTGCACAGTGCCTATAAGGTTGTTGTATTATTGTCACTTCAGTGATGTCATCTTTTCATTCCATGACCCTGTTGGAGGTTGGAGGTAAACATACTAGAGTGGTTTGCCGTTTCATTCAACAGCAGCAAGAACAATATTCCAGGCATTATGTGAAGTGCTGGGGCTTACATGAGCAAAAACTAAAAAGTCCCTTCCCTCAAGCAACTAATTCTATCTACTGGGTAGATAGAATGCGCCCTACAATAACCTTATGAGATGAAAACTGCACACATAGTGCGTGCTTCATAATGCTTGTTGATTGTTTCCTAGTAGGAAAACACTAAGTATTTGAGAATTACATAAAATGTCAAGTAGAATCAGTGGAGGAAATCTTGTAGAAAGGGAAGATAGAGTGACCAAATATACAGACTCAGCAGAGCCAAGAATAAAACTGGGAATAGATATTTTCATTTGTCTGGATGCATGAAGTCAGGACTGGGGAAGCAGAATAAAGTGGCATTGAAGGCTTTGAAGGGATTACTACAGTGCAGTCCCAGAACATGGGTGTTTTTTCCCCTTGGAGTGATCAGGATTGCCATACAATAAATCTCTGGTTTATATGGTGCTTTCTTGCAAGGGAGGTGGTACAAGTGTTGTTATTTCCATTTTACAGTTGAGCTTCACACAGTGTGGATGTGTCTGAGGTGTGATTTAAAGCCATATCCCTCCTGACCTGTCCCTCAATGTGACAGTGATTGCTATGAGCTACCCTGTGCCTGTTAGTCGTACCCTAGATTGGTGTGATGCTGATAGGAACCTTCCATGTCACTTTCTCTTCCAGATGGATCCAACACTTGGAAAGGAAGAGTTATTTTCAGAGGAAGAAGGAATTACAGTGAAGTGTCCTACTGAGGTAGGCAGGGGTTCCATGGGGTGGGGAATGCTCTTGATGAGTTGGAGTGGTTGAGTGTCTATAACAAATGGGCTTTGTAATTGCAAATAGCAAGGCAGGTTCTTCTTCTGGCTATTCCATTTTCCCCATTAATGGCCTGAGGTGCTCTATTTCATCTGGTTCTATTATTTTTAACACCAAAAATTGATTTATTAAAGATTTTCCCAACCCCAGAACTTCTTTTTAATTAATAAATTTATTTATTTTTAGTTTTCAACATTTACTTCCACAAGATTGAGTTCTAAATTTTCACCCCATCTTGCCCCTCCCCCCACCCCAAGATGTCATGCATTCTGAATCCCCCTTCCCCTAGTCTGCCTTCCCTTCTGTCTCTCCCCCCTTTTCTCTCAACCCCTTCCCCTTCTATTTTCCTGTAGGGCAGGATGGATTTCTGTATCCCAGTGCCTGTATTTATTTCCCAGTTGCATGTGAAAACATTTTTTTTTAAACATGTGTTTTTAAAACTTTGGGTTCCAAATTTTCTCCCTTCTTCTCTCCCCACCCACCCTCGTTGAAAAGGCAAGCAACTCAATTTAGGTTATATATGTGCAGTTATGCAAAACACTTCCACAGTGGACATGATGTGAAAAACTAATTCTATTTCCCTTAATCTTATCCTGTCCCCCCATTTATTCTATTCTTTTTTTTGACCCTGTCCCTCCTCAGAAGTATTTGCTTCTGATTACCCCCTTTCCCAATCTGCCCTCCTCTCTATCATCCCCCTGCTCTCTTGTCCCCTTCCCTCCCCATTTTCCTGTAGGGTAAGACAGATTTCCATACCCAATTGAGTGTGTATGTTATTCCCTCCTTAAGTCAAATCCTATGAGAATAAGATTCACTCATTCCCTCTCACCTTCCCCTGTTTCCCCTCCACTGTAGGAGGCTTTTCTTTTCTGCTTTTTATGAGATAATTTATCCTGTTCTACCTCTCCATTTCTCTTTCTCCTAGTATAATCCTCTCTCACCTCTTTATTTTATTCTCCAGATATAACCCTTTCATCTTCAACTCACCCTGTGCCCTCTATTTATCTATTTATCTATCTATTTATCTATACATACATCTAATTTTTTCCCTCCAACTACTCTAATATTGAAAAAGGTCTCATGAGTTAGAAATATCATTTTTCCATGCAGAAATGTAAATAGTTCAACCATAATAAGTCTCTTATGATTTTCTCTTTCCTGTTTATCTCTTCATGTTCCACTTGAGTCTTGTATTTCAAAGTCAAATTTTCTGTTCAGCTCTGGTTTTTTCATCAAGAATGCTTGAAAGTCCTCTATTTCACTGAATGACCATTTTTCCCCTGCAGGATTATACTCCGTTTTGCTGGGTAGGTGATTCTCTGAAATATTTTATTCCATGCCCTGCGGTCCCTTAATGTAGAAGCTGCTAAATCTTGTGTTATCCTGATTGTGTTTCCACAATACTTGAATTGTTTCTTTCTGGGTGCTTGTAATATTTTCTCCTTGACCTGGGAACTCTGGAATTTGGCTACAATATTCCTAGGAGTTTTCCTTTGGAGATCTCTTTCAGGAGGAGATTGGTGGATTCTTTCAATTTCTATTTTGCCCTCTGGTTCTAAAATATCAGGGAAGTTTTCCTTGATCATTTCTTGAAAGATGATGTCTAGGCTCTTTTTTTGATCATGGCTTTCAGATAGTCCAATAATTTTTAAATTCTCTCTCCTGGATCTATTTTCCAGGTCAGTTGGTTTTCCAGTGAGATATTTCACATTGTTTTCTAATTTTTCATTCTTTTGGATTTGTTTTACAGTGTCTTGATTTCTCATAAAGTCACTAGCTTCCAATTGCTCTATTCTAATTTTTAAGGAAGTATTTTCTTCAGTAATCTTTTGGACTTCCTTTTCCATTTGGCCAATTTTGCTTTTTAGGGCATTCTTCTCCTCATTGGCTTTTTGGACCTCTTTTGCCATTTGGGTTAGGCTATTTTTTAAGGTGTTATTTCTTTCAGTGTTTTTTTGGATCTCCTTTAGCAAGCTGTTGACTTGTTTTTCAAGATTTTCTTGCATCACTCTCAGTTTTTCCTCTACTTCTCTTACTTGCTTCTCAAAATCCTTTTTAAGCTCTTCCATGGCCTGGGACTGATTCATATTTTTCTTGGAGGCTTTGGATGTAGGAGCTTTGACTTTGTTGTCTTCTCCTAGTTGAATGTTTTGATCTTCTTTGTCACCAAAGTAAGATAATATAGTCTGACTCTGCTTACTCATGATTCCGGCCAATTACTTGAGTTTTAAGTGATTTGTTAAGGTAAGAGTCTGCTTCCAGTGTGGAGAATGTAGTGTCCCAAGCTTCAGGCATTTGTACAGCTGTTTTCAGAGATACTTCTAGGGACCTGTAAATTTTTAGTTCTTCTAAGGTGGTATGATAAGGGGTGAGGTGTTTCCTCTCCACCACCAAAACAAGCTCCACCATGCCAGCGCTCCTCCTCACCCCAGGACTGCCCCTCAGAACTGTGACCCAGATCCAAGCACAGGCAAAGCAAGAGATTTCTGCCTCAGCACCAGCAAAGAGATCCCTGCAACCCCCCTCTGATCAGCCACTGGATTCCCCCTCAGTCTGTGGCCCGGAAGCTCAGGAGGAAGCCGCTGCCCTGGCCGAGCTCAGGTACTGGAGCTGAGACCACCGGCTTCTCTCTTTCACCACAGACACAGACTTTTCCCACTGACCTTCCAAGTTGTCTTTGGTGTTCATGGGTTGAGAAGTATGGAAACCACCACAGCTGTCTGCAATTCAGCCCTCTGAGGCCTCCTCCAGGTTCGCTGCAGCCTGCGCGCCCATCCTGCACTGCGCTCCTCTCCCCGCCTGGCACGATATACCTTTCCAATAAACCATCCAGGTTGTCTTGGGCTGGAAATTTGTTCCACTCTGTCTTTTTGTGGGTTCTGCTGCTTTAAATTTGTTTAGAGCCATTTTTTTAACAGGTATTTTGAGGGTTTGGGCGAGGGCTCAAGCAAGTCATTGCTTTCACTCCACCCCTTCACCCCATGACTTTTTGACCATTTGGTTTCCTTCCACTTCCTTCCACTACCAGGAGGGAGGGGTGATTAGCAGATTCAATAGAACTCATCTCTACTTTCATGTGCTTCCCCATGCTACCTTCCCATTCCCCAGACCCTTGTGAGGGCATGTCATTTTCAAACCTTGGGTTGAAGTCGAGAGTTAAAGAACAGGATGTGAGGGGCTGGCCTGTTGTGTGGTCAAGAGGGTGGGGCAATTTGAGGCTGTGATTTTGGTGGTATTTTTCTAAAAGCTCATGAGCTCAGAAGCAGAGAAACCTGGTCCTAGAAGCGCAGCATCAATCGCTGAAAAAGTCAGTTCTCCTCTTGTTACCTCAGTATCACAATCTAAAAAATGGAGACTTTCATGTTCATCCACCACTTGTGGAGATTTTTGAGCACTTTGGTGACCTATGACATCATCCTTTCCTGCGAAGATTACAGATCTTGTTTAACTTAGAAGAATTCCTATAGCCCAAAGAGCTGCTCCTCCTTGTTGCTCTGACAATGAGCTTCTTCATACTTAGCAAGACTGGTCGCAGGATGATGGACATAAGGTCTATAATCTGGCCTATCCTTGAAACTTTTCCAGTTTGGATGAGTGATTACACTCCACTGGCATGACCATGAAGAATCCAAAGCAGTCTATCCTTGCCAAAATGAATCATCAGAGTGGAGGGCTAGGCACATGACAAATGAAAGGGGATGATGACCTACCACCTTAAAGACAAAGCACCTCCTTTGATGGTCTAGCTGTGTTGGCTAGGAATCATTTACAGGCCAAATGGGGCTCTAAACTTGGTCTAATGACCTTGGTTTCATACTCCATAAAATAGAGACCTTCACATTGACCTACGTCTCCCATGTTCTCCTTGTTATCAGCTCCTGCCCTTGGGTGATTGCAGTGGATATGCACTGTGTATTTTCATCACTCTGCCCATCCCTGTTCCTCTGTACTCCCCATTCTCACAAATTGACCTGGCTTGTGTAGCTTTAAAACTCAGCTCTGAAACACACACACAGACACACACACACACACACACACACACACACACACACACACACACAGAGCAACATCCTATTTCTCCTTCGCCACTTTCATTTTGAATATGTTATTTTATCTACACCTGTGATTATAACCCCCATTTGTTTCTGACAAACAAACCCCATCCTAGCTGAAGAACCTCATAGCACAGCATGGCCAAAGACTTGATCATTTTTACCCCCACCCTCCTCAAGTTTCAGGCTTTCAGAGCATCAGGTTTGTACTGGAGATACAAATTTGTATCTCTGTCTTCTTATTCTCCCACAAGCCCCAAGGCTTATTGTTGTTGATGCTTGATGATTGTTAATACACATGTTATGGTTTCACATTAGAACCCGCCTACCACTTCTTATTCATCAAAGAAATAAGTCCCTTAGGAGGAGGCTGGCTGGACCAACGCTGACATAGGACTAGCACAAGCTTTATAGAAGAGGGAGTGAGGGAAATGAAGGAATTTGTGACAGATATTTGTAGATGTATAAAGTCATATCTACTCCTCACCCTAGCAGAGGCTCAGCCAGATAAAATACTTTCCTCTACTCATCTAGGTAGTGTGCTGGATTGAAAGGTAGGATTCCTCCTCTGTCACAGAATCCAAATCTGCCCTCAGATACTTACTTATATGACCCTGGGATGGCTACTTAACACTAGTAATAGCACCTACCTCCCAGGATCAAGTGAAACAATATTTGAAAAATACTTCGCATAGTGCCTGCCACATAGTAAGTACAGTATAAATGTTAGCTATTATTGTTCTTATTTGCAACTCGAGGTACAGAAACGGAATTCTATGAAATTATAATGACAAAGCTTGGCCTCAAATAAAAATGTTGGAGGATTCACTTTCCTCCCTTCTATGTAGAGAGGTAGAACTCTGCATAGCCTATCAGACTTATCTGTTGCTTATTTTGCCGAACTGCTTTTTTCCCTTTCGTTCTTTCAAATTCTTTGTTACAAAGGATGACTCTAGGAGAGTAGAGAGAAGGAATATAGCAGGAAATGAAGGTGATATGAAATGAAAATATATTAATAAAAATGTTTTTAAAAGACATTGTATAGATAAAGTTGAAAAAAAAAAAACGACAACCAAGAAGTAGGGTCATAGGTCCAGACAAAATCTATTTTGGGAGAACCAGTAAAAAGTTTTAATAGGCAAACAAATGTGCCCAGGTGACTACATCTGAGGAGGTGAACTTCTAACTAAAGAAGGCCACCCGACAGCTGTGAGGTCAGACCCATAAAACACATCGGGCAGGGCTGCATACTAGGTTCCATAGTTCCATTTCCTTTGGGGCCGTCGTGATATTGTGCTATCCAACATGATAGGAAAGGAAATCTGCAATGACAGAATACTAGTGTATGGAATGTGCCATAGAAAGAAATCAAAGGTGATCCTTCACTACCTACAGCAAATGTTGTCTCTGTACCGAAGATAGGGCACAAAAAAAAATAAATATGATGCTTTCTTCCCAAGAAAATTCCCAAGGGAAGTCAGTGAGTGTTTCAGTCATCAACCAAAGGATGTTGCATACATTTCCATAGTTCACAAGGAGCTGAGTTCCATTTTAAAGGTTAATAACTATCAGGTTTGCCCTCACTCTTTTGTTATAGTCATAACTTATGTTGCTTTCTTTCTACAGGAGCATCCGTTTCTAGTCACCTATCTAAATCGTCATTACCACCCCGACTTACCCCAAACCACCAAGAAGCCTGAGGTATTAAAGTTTTTTGTTGCTTGTGAACACACAAATGGGGCAGCTGGGTGGCGTAGTCCATAGATCACTAGACTTTGAAGCAGGAAGACTCATTTTCATGAGTTCAAGTCCAACTGGATACATTCATTAGCTGTGTATCCCTGGGCAAGTCACTTAACTCCCCGTATGCCTGAGTTTCCTCATCTGTAAAATGAGATGCAGAAGGAAATAGCCAACCACTCCAGTATTTCTGCCAAGAAAACTCCAAATGTGTTCACTGAGAGTTGGACATGAATGCAAAATGATTGAAGCGAAAAACAAAAACAAAAAAAACCCCACATTCTGTATACATACTTTACCTTTAGAAGCTGTCAAAAGCATTCTGAATTGTTCTTTAAGACCTAGAACCTCAAGTCCTTACTATGGTGCTAGAGTGAGGCCTGGAAGCTGAGATTCAAATTGGAGGTCCTGTGACTCTGGCTTCAATGCGTTTACTGTTGCGCCCCAATGGAGACACACTTGTATGTCAGAATTGCTCTACCTTACCAGCCTTATTGGCCCTATAGCCCCATTTTCCCTACCCCAGTTCTTTATTTTTTTGGTAGGCAATGGGGTTAAGTGACTTGCCCAGGGTCACACAGCTAGAAAGGTCAAGTGTCCTGCTGACTCCAGGGCCAGTGCTCTGTCTACTGCACCACACCCCAGTTCTTTTGATGCCCATTATTCCCAGGTTTTTCCGTCTGATGGTGGTCATCACTCTTAAATAGATAGAAGACTTAGGAAGATTGGGGAAATAAAGTAAAGCACAGAACTGTAATAAAAAGAAGATGAAAAAGATTCCTAACTCTGCAGCCCGACTTAGCCACACAATTACTCTTAGTCACACTTTCCTTCTGACTCATGGAGTCCCAAGTGCTGTTATCCTGTAGTGCCATCCTGAGTTGTGCCTGTAAAAAGTAGGAATTTATCCACAAAGGTGGTCCGGCCCTATTTATAACCCGACTAGAGCCTCGCTAGCTGTTGTTATTTAGAACTAGAGTGAGACTTATTTCAGCCAAGTGTTGGAATCTAGTATGTTTAAATTAGCTTCACAGATAGGCTCTACAAGCCCTTTGACTCATACAAATTTCCCTATCCAGGCAAATAACATCGTTATTATGAATCATCTGATGAGGAGGGAAACCTGAAATATGAAAGAATATATTTGCCAATGAGTCAGACTTTCTATGTACTATTTATTTTTTTCTCCCCAAAGTCTGATTTCTTTCAGTCCTGCGCTCCTTTGCATGGCTATTGAAAGCCATGGCTCCAGACAGGAAACCTTTATATCTCCTATAGTTAAAATCTAAGGTCATGTTGCATCTGGGTAACTACAAATGTTTTTGGTTATTTCAGAAGAGAGAAGGAGCAGAAATTCGATGTCCTTATATGGATCCCTCCAATGTGGTGCCCACTTCAGGTAAACAGACTTTTAAGTATTTTTAAATACATGGGAAACCTGAATATGAATCAAGTAAAGAAAATTAGGCCTTTCCATATTTATGAATGACAGTAATACAATCATAGATATGGAGGTAGAAGGGACCTCAGAGCAATTTAGCAAACACAGAAAGGTGATTTTTTTTTCTGAAAGTTATGAAGATAACAATAATAATACCTCACTCCTAGGGAGATTGTAACAATCAAAGGAAATAAAATATTTATAAAGGGCTTTGCCAACCTGCCTACTATTATTTAGGAGAAAGTGAGAAATCATCAATAGCTATTTATCATCTATAGGGAACTTGACTAGATTTGGGAAATACAAGTGGAATCCCTGGTGCAGACCCATAAGGGGCTAGCATTGCTAGCCTAGTCCAACCCCATAATCACCATCAGAATTTTTGAGCAGAGTGTAATCATTTATAGCAATAAAGCATCTATTTTGGCAGATTGATCATTTTCATTGTGTTCTGTTGGCAACAGAGATCAGAGGTTTGGTGATCGTTGAAAGTTGAAAGGAATTTAATTTCCTTCATGGAGCATAAGGACAGGAGAACGTAGTCATGGAAACCCACCCACATACAAGTAAACATTGGCCCATGGGCCATCTTCAGGCTGCTTTCCATAGGCTATCCATATGCTTTCCATAGGCTCCTTATGAAATTAGAGAATTCTTCATTTCTTACCTTGGGGAACTGGGCTGGGCCCATGGGACAGAGGTACTGCAACAGAGTACTGTATTCTCCACCCAGAGGGTTTCTCTGTCCTGGACTCAGGCATGTAGTTGGATCAGGTTTACTTCTTGGTAGCCTAATGTTTAACGAAAAGAGTGAGGGGTTTGGGATGTTAATCTCCTATTCTTTGGCTCATTAAATCCCCATCCTGGTTCCCTGGGGTAAATTCCATTTATATTTTCTATTATGGTTATACTTAATGTTTTTCTAAATAAAAAAGGGAAGTAAAAACTGTATTCAGTATACAATGATATTGCTGAGATATGGGATGGGTGATTTAGCTGTACACACACACACACACAATAGGGTTCGGTAACTAAACTGATGACTACTGTTATAATCAGTTAGCAAGCTGATACTTAAACCTCTTCCCAACTTTGTTCTTATATGCTGTTTGCAGGAGTGCTGTCAGAATTTAAAATTTCATCTGTCCTATACTGCCCAAAAAATTCACAGTACAAGTCTGCTTGTAAAATCAGCTTGGCTCAGGACACTCCTCTTAATGCTTCTTCATCATAGACATTTCTCCTTCCACTACCTACATCTAACCCAATAGGACCCAAGGCCCCTGGACCTCTGAAACTCATAACTGCCTTTGAACCTGGACTCAAATCATTTCAGAATACTTGTTTGCCTAAAGTCAAGAAAGTGAAAACACTAAATTAGCAGCCTAAAGGTTTGCCTAGGCATATGTGTTCATTGCCATAATGATAATGGCACCCTTTTCTCTACTCCTCTCCATGTCCCCAAGCTCAGAAAAGTCCTGACTTGATTTGCCCTAGGAAAAGGAAATAGAGATTAGGGCCAGTGACACCCTTTTCAATATCTACTGTTCACCAACTCTTCTGACTCCATAGACAATAAGGGGTTTCTTTGTTATTTCAAGGAATGCCCAATTGCCCAGAATGGTATATGGTTATAAGTAAGCCCCAGTACTTCAACTGGAGCCAGGAATAACAATTCAGAGACTGCTTCTATGGGTTTGCCTCTGTAGGCCAATTCAGCCTTGACATGTATTCATGAACTCATTCCTTCATTTCTTCATTGAACAAATAGTTATTGAGCTCCTGTTATTTGTGATTCATCTGTGTCGGGCATAGGGGCAATATAGAAGAAATTTAAGATGGGGCCCTCATCTTCCAGGAGCTTACATTATCCTGGGAAACAGCATTTTCTGTTCTTCATCAAGCCGTATATCAGAGGCTAAAGGTTAGAGGTAGGATTTATACTCACTGTGCCATCTTGCCTTAAGGAAGAAGGAGGATTGGGAGAGTAAGAGAGAAGGGAACAAGCATTTATTAGTGCCTACTTTTTCCAGTAACTTTGCTAAAGTCTTTATAGATATTATCTCATTTGATAGGACTTAAAAGAATTAAGACCTTCATGTGGAGATAATTTGCGATTGTCCCAGTGATTTAATAAGAGATACCAATAGTAGTCATACCTCTTATAATGTTATTAACCTCAAAGTACACTTTGGCTGTCTACCTAGATCATCTATGTCACAATATGTCAAAAGCAAACTTCAAGACTGTCTTATATTTAACTGGCATTTTCCCTCAGATTAGATATCAGCCTCTTTGCTTATGTGACCCTGAATATTCCTGACATTTGGCAATATAAAATGAGATGGAAATCTCAGTGCTTCCAGATAGAGATACTATGGTGACAGGTGTTGGGAGAATAAATAACTGGACACATTTAGATCTGTCTGGTCAGAATGAATGAGCCATGGCACCAGAGCATTCCAACTATACCATTTGATGGGGACCATCCTAATAGGAAAGATGGGCCCATCTTGGTTCCCCTAAGTTCCAATTTGGCCTCAGACACTTCTGTGTGATCCCTGTTTGCTTCCTTTGTCTCATCTGTAATTATAGCACTTATCTCCAAAGGTGGTTGTGAAGATCAAATGAAGATATTTGTTAAGCACTTAGCCCAATATCAAGCACACACAGTAAGTGCTTAATAAATACCTGCTAAGTCTAAATCTAGAATCCTGCCCTGTGGTAAAGATCAGCCACAGTGAAAGGAACACACTGAGTTTCTCTAGCCCATTTCATTCTTCTGCCATGGACAAATGTGATATTTTTAACAGTGATGAGTGAAGGCATGACTCTCAAAATTGATTAAGACGCCCACAGTAGTGCTCAGAACCACTCTTGACCATGTCATCATTTGAAGTTAGCTTCGTGTTTAGTTAATTTTCTAGTAAGGTGGCAATGTGATGTCATAGAAAGAGAATTGAATTTGGTCTTAGATGGGCTAAGTTTGAATTAGGGCAGCTAGTTGGTGCAGTGGATAGAGCACTGGGTCTGGAGTCATATGTTCAAATCTTGTCTCAGATACTTCCTAGCTGTGTGATCTTGGGCAAGTCAGTTTCAATTGGCTTTAATTCAATTTTAATTTTGGTTGCCTTACTTTGCAAATTACTTCCTCTTTCTCTTTAGTTTTCTCATGTGTATGTTGGTCAGTTGTTTCAATCAAATCCAACTCTATGTGATCCCATTTGGGAGTTCCTGGGAAAAGATACTAGAGGAGTTTGTCATTTCCTTCTCCAGCTCATTTTACAGATGAGAAACTGAGGCAACTGGTTAAATGACTTACTGGTGGCCAGGTAATAAGAGTCTGAGACTGGATTTGAACTGAGGAAGAGAATTCTTCCTGACTCCAGGCTTGGCACTTTCTGCACCATGGTGCTACCTAGCTGTGCTTTTCTGGTGTATATAGTAGTTATAATTTTTTTAAGGTTTACAAAGCATTTCACATGCCACATTTTATTTAGTCTTCACAGTGACCCTGTAGTAAAGTAGGTGCTACTACTACTCCCATTCCATAGATGAGTAAACTGTGCTTGGACAGTTTTAAGTGACCTATCCTCAGTCACACAGTAGCAGATTTTCACGCCTGCTGAGAGATTACAAAAAATGATTTCTAAGGTTGCTTTGAGCTCTGAATCCTATTAAAAGCATCTTGCAAGGTGCACCCACATTTTACTTTTCTTTGTAGATTGTTATAATGATGTTAACATAAGAGGTTTTAAACAAACCCCCTTTGGTGGCTTTCTTATATTTAGACAATGGTTTCCAAAGAGCCTCTTTTCACTTTTAAGAACAGAAACTGGTGGTCTTCCCAAAATGAACAGCATAACCTCACCTGAGTTTTGCTTGGAAATTTGAGCTTTTGGAATTTCAAGTTGATTGAGTCCTTGTCCCTGAGATAGTTCTATGGGCCAATGGGTTCTTTGGGATGATAAATAAATAAGTTATCTGTCTCAACCCTTTAGCATTTTATGATGCGGGTGAAAATGGCTATGAGGATGATAACTGAATATTTTGAAATTCCGAAGTGCTTTTACTTTTATCTCCTGTTAGCCTCCCATGAACCTTGGGTAGTAGGTACTACAGGCAATATCACCCCCCATTCTATGTCATTGTTCAGTTGTTTCAGTCATGTACAACTTTTTGTAACCCCATTTGTGTTTTTTTGGCAAAGATAACAGTGGTTTATCATTTCTTTCTCCCGTTCATTTTACAGATGGGGAAACTGAGGCAAACAGGGTAAAGTGACTTGCTCAGGGTCACATAGCTAGTGTCTTGAGACTGCATCTGAGCTTGGGTCCTGTTGATTCCAGGCCATGTACTGTATTCACTGCACCACATAACTGCCTGAACCTCTATTCTGTATAGGTAGGGAATCTGAGTCTCATGGAGATTATGTGATTTTTCTCAATTGTGAATCTGGGTCTTTGATTCTAGGTCTCTATCTACTGACCTTTCTACTATGCCAGTCAATAAGGAGCAAAGGCTGTTACCCTTCCCCATTACCTCTCCCAATGTATACATACATAAACCTGGCAACTTTCTTTACTTTGTACTTATATTCTTTTTTTAATAATATTTTATTTTTTCCAGTTACTTATAAAGTCAAATTTTAATGTTCTTTTGAAAAAATTTTAGTTCCTCCCTAAGACAAGAAGCAATTTGATGTATTCTGTAAGTGCAATCATTTAAAACATTTCCATTTTCGTCTTGTTGACACCTTTGTAACACGATAGGTTGTTACATTTTCGAAGATCATTGGAAAGACTGCTTCCCTCCAATGAATTCAAACTCCCACTTAAATTATTTCTTCTCTGGTAAGTGGAAAGAATAAGTCTGTCTGGCCCTTCCAGCTGACTTGCCAAACCCTCCCCCTATCACCCTCGGCTTGGAAAGCAGCACCTCCTAAAACAGGTGAGAGG